CCTCCCAGACCTCCACTGAGTCTCCTCTCCCCCAACCAGGTGACCGCCACGACTGGGCTGCGCTACCTGCACACGGCACTGGAAAGTGTGTCCAATCCCGAAGACCCCGAGTGCGAGAGCGAGGGCTGGCTGCTGGAAAAGAGCGTGCCGGAGACCTGGAAGGCCTTTCTGGAGAGCTTGAAAAAGCTGGGCAAGAGCAACCAGGTGGAAGCTGAGGGCGCAGATGCAGGCCAGGCCCCCGAGGCTGGCTGATGGCCCCAGGTCCCCTCCCTCCAGAACACTGACAAGTAATGGACTCCAAGAAATGCGGACACACACCCTTGTTCAATCTGAAGCTCCCAAGGAGGACGGCCACCTCACAGACTCTCCCTGATGGTGGGATGGAAAGTTTAGGGTCCCTAAAAGCATCTATCAAACATTTGTTGAATGAATGACTCAAAATGTGAGTGAATGAGCCCCTTCAGGCCCACTGCTCTAGCACATGGTCTCACGGTGGCCTCAGGGGTCTCTGGGGATGACCAGCCCACAACCTGTCTCTCTCACGGCACCCATCTCAGTTCCACCCTGAGACTACTGGCCACACCCGAGGGCTGCTTCCCTTTGCTGCGTTTGCCATTCTAAGCTCCAAGAGGCTTCATTCTACATCCAAATGTCACCAGGTGCATAAGCACAGGAGTCTGAACAAAAGCACTGGCCATGTTATCCTTTTAAAAAATGCCAAGATTGACAGGTCAGCCACTGTATTTGCTTAATGGCAGAAAGTGGGGGACAATTATACTCTTCTAAGGGTACCGGACTCTCCAAAGCAGGGAGGGCTCAAAAGAAGAATTCTCTAATGACGGGGCAAGAGCATTTAGAGACAGAGGATTGTTTCTCCCCACCAAAAACGCAGGTCAAGGCCTGCTCCGTCTCAGTCACGTGCCCTCACTTGGCCAGGAGCGAGCTACGGGTGGAGGAAGTCAAGCTGTTGTCATGTCCCAGCAGCATCCCGCCCCGAAAGGTCTGGGTGGGCTCCTCTGGCTCTGGGGGAACGGCTGCCCTTCCGTGGGAGAGGAGCAACCGTCAGACGGGAGTCTACCCTTCGGAGACCAGGCCTCCCCTCGCGGTGGGCCCAGGGATGCCCGCACAGGTGGGCGTGCCAGCCCCCGTGGGCAACACTCATTGTCTACAGTGGAGGGCAGAGTCCTCCGGGAGCTTCTTCCTGTTTCTATCCCCAGACAGCCATCCTTCAAAGCAATATTCCTGGGATGCCTCTGCATTAAAGAGGATTCTTCGAGACAGCCCGTCTTCCTGAGCTAGCACTGCAACAGAAGTTCCCAGTTCCTTCAGGAGAGAGAGAGGAAGCCTGTTTAGTTGAAGGAGAGAATGATTTCACTGCCGCCCTGAGTTTCCGGGGTGGAGAAAGCAAGGCTTTTGGAGCTGCCTGGGTGTGTTTTGGGCTCTAACCTCCCCAGGCTTAAGACCCAACAAAGATGTTTGGACTCTGTCAGATTTTGGTCCCAGGTTTAATTTGACTCCTGATTCCTTGGGCCCCCCTTCCAGAGCCCTCTTTCCTCTCAGGAGTGCTGAGAACCATGGGGAAAGTGCTGCTCTAGGCCAGATGTGTAACTAAGCTGTACAATAGACATTAAAATTATATTGTATGAAAACCACTTTTGTGTATCGTATGAAAATGCCTATCTTAGCCCATTCAACAGCATGTATTACAGGATCCCCAACTTTACCTAGTATATATATATTTATATTTAATATATATTAATTTATATTTATAAATATATATATATTTAATATTTTTGATTTCAGAGAGGAAGGGAAAGGGAGAGATAGAAACATCAATGATGAGAGAGAATCACTGAAAGGCTGCCTCCTGCGCGCTTCACACTGGGGATCGAGCCCACAACCCGGACGTGTGCCCTTGACCCAGGACCCTTCAGTCCGCAGGCCGGCTAGGGCTCTACCTAATATTTTTTAACAAAACCAAACCTGACACGAAACAGAAGCATTGTTCATGACCAGGGTAGCTGTGTTTCAACAGCATGGGAGTCACCTCCTTCCTGCCTTCTTACTCTCTTACCTGCAAGAACAGTGACTATCAATTTATCCAAATAATTGCAACATTTTGCTAGAGTCTGGACCACAGCTGAATTTACCTACTATTTCAATGTGTGGTATCTTACTTTAGTGATTTAAGTAAAAATTCCAAAGCGTTTTCCCCCTGCTCTGGCCAAAACGTATTTCCCCAAACAGGGAAATATGGATCTCGATGGGTCCAGGTTATAGGGCAGATATAAGCAACTTTAGGGTCTGAGGACAAAGGACTAACTGACCCTCCAATAATGATCCAGTTGGTTCAGAGCAGACTTAGAAGAGCTGCATCTGAACAGATCTCCTCAGGGAGCCACAGTTGCCAGAGAAAGCTGGCCCACCTCGTCTGGTCACCGACCAGTGCCCAGTGGAACTCTGGCACCAGGTTCTTCCTGGTGTCTAACCTCAGTCTTTCCTTGGGCCAGTGCAAATTCATCTCACCCAAGGGAGTCCAAGATTTCAAAGTCCTGCTAGCCTAGCCCTGGGGTAGGGTGAGAGGTAAAGACAGTGCCTTAGGACTTCTATTTTCTTATTTATTTTTAAAAATATATTTTATTGATTTTTTACAGAGAGGGAGGGAGAGGGAGTTAGAAACATCGATGAGAAAGAAATATCCATCAGCTGCTTCCTGCACACTCCCTACTGGGGATGTGCCCGCAACTATGGTACGTACCCTTGAATGGAATTGAACCTGGGACCCTTCAGTCCGCAGGCCGACGCTCTATCCACTGAGCCAAACCGGTTAGAGCAGGACTTTTATTTTTAAAACACTCCCCAGTGCAGAAGTATGCAATGCTTATTCTGAACATTTAGGAAGGTGGATTTCCTAGAATTTGTGGCCTCAGCTCAATAACCCAGTCTGTTGCAATACATTGAAACCAGGACTGAGCCACCAGCAGCAAATAAACCCCGAGTGACCTCAATACGGATTAATAAGATTAGCTGCTTGCTCTGCACGCGGCCCTGCCCCTCCTCTTCTGGGACCTGTGGTGCTACAGCAGGTTTGCAGCTTAGCCTGGTGGCAGGGGGGACCAAAGCAATTAGGGCCTCTGACCTGCACTAGATAAAAAGATGGCTGATGACAGCATGGCCAGCCAGTTGTGCTGTGTGTTGGGAATAGGGACATGGGGGAGAGGGGATGCCTTCCCAGTCCTCAGTGGACTTGAGATTGGCTTCAAGGGAGGATTTATCAGTCCTTAACTCCTGATGCACTGTCTTTCTTGTCCTCCAGAGGATGAGTATAAATAGCAAAGTTAAAAGAATGTAGTACAAGGACGGTGTGGATTAAGTTATATATAAAGGAAAACTCCTGTTTACCCAAGTGGAATGAAAACTTAGGTCCAAACAAAATCCTGTACATGAATGTTTATAGTGGCTTTATTTATAATCACCAAAACTTTCCCAAATGTCCTTCACCTATTAACTGCACAAGCACTACCTGGTGATGCAAACACTTGAAGATAAAGGGTGTGTGTTGTTATTTCATGTAAATTCATCTGCTGTGTGTGCACAATTCAACAGCATGTATTACAGGACTCCCAACTCTTTGGCGACCAAAGGAAATATGGATGGCCCTCAAACACATACCTTCTTCTTTTTTTTTTTTTAAATCCTCACCTGAGGGTATTTTTCCATTGATTTTTAGAGAGTGGAAGGGAGAGGGAAGAGAGAAACACTGATATGAAAGAGACACATCAATTAGCTGCTTCCCACATGTGCCCCCAAAAGGGCTGGAAGCCTGAAACTGAGATATGTGCCCTTGACCAGAATTGAACCTGGAACCCTACAGTCCACAGGCCGATGCTCTACCCACTGAGCCAAATCGGCTAGGGCTGCATGCCTTCTTTGTGAGAGAAGCAGTCTCAAAAGGTTACATAAGATAGTTATAAAACATTATGGAAGCTCTAACTGGTTTGGCTCAGTGGATAGAGCGTCAGCCTGCGGACCGAAGGGTCCCAGGTTCGATTCCGGTCAAGGGCATGTACCTTGGTTGCGGGCACATCTCCAGTGGGGAGTGTGCAGGAGGCAGCTGATCGATGTTTCTCTCTCATTGATGTTTCTAACTCTCTATACCTTCCCCTTTCTCTCTGTGAAAAATCAATAAAATATATATTAAAAAAAAAAATTATGGAAGAGGCAAGGCAAAGGGATGGGGAAAAAAATTAGTGGTGGCCAGGGGTCAGGATGGGAGAGCTTGGGTGATGGAACTATTCTATTTCTTGATTGCGGTTGTTGTTAAACAAACCTCAAAAACCCTGACTTGGAAAACAAGAGTAGCAACAGAGCAAGGAGTGTATCACAGGGCTTAATGAGCCCTGGACCTGACGACACTACGACCAGGGAAGGGAGGAAGCTGAAAGTAGCATTAATGATGGGGGGTAATACAATGGAAACTTGCTTTTTCAGTGTGATCCTTTCCTTTGAAGAGGATTTTAAAAAGTATAGCAGAAAAAAAAAAAAAAATAAGAGTCAGCCAAGTTCTCGTAGGCAATGCTTTCCTGGCACTGGATGCCACTCCTCTCCTACCTGCCTCTCTCATAAGCAGAAAGTGTCTGGGAGTGTGTAAGAACAAGACTAGGATCAAGTGAAAAGAGTTTACACCTGGAGACAGGTCTCGGCGTTGGGAGAGACTCCCAGTGCCCCCTTTTCTCGTGCCTTGAGGTCCATAATGGTTTAGAAAGGTCACAAGCTGTCATAGCCAATTAACAGGGAAATTAATCAGCTGAAATGATGATCAAGCTTTCTATGGGAAGGTCAAGACGTCTGGCTAATGGCCATAACAGACACTAATAACATAAGCATCTTAAATGCCAAGCTAATACACATGTCCCACTTTACTTGTAGCAAGGTGACATGGGGAACACTTCCAGGGTATTTCAGTGTGAAACAAAATGAAAATGTAGACAGACCCAAAGTAATGTCAACACCTAAAGCATTTATTTGGATATCTTTAAGCTTTTTACATATGATACATTCCAAATTTTACAAGTTTTCCACAGATATTAAAGTTATAGCCAATTTATTAAACATATATGATTTTCCCTGATATAGAAAGCATGTTACATAAACATTTCTACAATAAACATAATACATGCGGAACAAATCATAATACTAAGATGATTCATTAGATAGGGAAGACAATTAGCTTAGTGATGCAAACATTATTTCATTTTCTAAATTTATCTTCTCTCAGACTCTGACATTCTCAGAGAGTGAAATCCAGGGATGACACCCTCAGTCCTAAAAGCTGAAAAATGCTCATGATTTGGTGAAAACGTCCATAATCCATTTATGAGGGAGAGACCAGACCTGGTCTTTTAAATTGAATCTTGGTGAACATTATTGAGAAAAGCCAAAAGAAGCTGGACTTAAAAGCTAAAGGAATGGGGATGTGACAAAAGCCAAAATAAACATTAATATCATTATGCCACCCATAGTCCAAACCATCCCATCTTACCAATGGCAAAACGGCCAGAAAAAAGGGGAGAGCACGAGGGTCTAACCTGGATTTTCTTCCTGTTGGGTGCGAAGCGCCTCCTCTCCTCTGGATGAGTCAGTCCCAAGCAAGAAGGGTCAAGGTCATCCTTTCAGAAGACTACCGTGGAGAGGAAGCAGTGACTGCAGCTTCTGCACCCCCACTTATTTTAGCCTGAAGCCTGGATTCTAACCTTCCTCCTGGGTACACTGTGGTGTGTGTGAAGTTGAGTGTGATGGAACTTTTAGATGCAGTTCAAAAAAAAAACCGAGTGAAAGGATTACTTGCATTGGCTAAAAAAAAAATCCAAGAGCCTTTCATTATTCATTTGTCCCTTAGCCTCATCTTAGAGAGGCTCCGAATTTATCCCTCCACAAAATCTGCCATCAATCTGTGTGTATCCAAGCTCTTGGCGCATGTACATCAAACAGAGTGGCCATGTGGTATATAATAGTTATAATGAATTTTACTAAGCGGCTATCATTCTAGGAAGGCACCTCTTAGTAAAAACAGTAATGTTTAGAAAGAATAAAAACCCTGGGCACACAGGCTGTCCCAGGAATGTACTAAGTGAGCCAGCACGTAACCAGCAATCCATCTTTCCAGGAAATGCGAGTAGGGAAGGGGGGACGGGAACTTCAAAACAGTTCTTCTTTTTTTTCCCTGCTAGTGTGTGATTCTAGAGGCATACGCTTCTCCATTTAGTCTTAGAAATAAAAGAATATATTGTCTGAAAAATAAGGATACTCTATAACTTTTCAAAAAGCCCTTTAAAATGAGTTTTTCTCTCTCAAAGCCAGAAGTCTTGCCAAAGAAAATAAAATAAAAAATCCAACCTTTCACAGCTCTGAAAACCACCCAGCATTTGAAGAAACAACTGCCTCCCCTTCCTCACAGGGGTTCCTCATGCACAAGTGCCCTCGTCCACTGACAGCCGAAGCAGACAAGGGAAAGCTGCTTTCCAAATCCACTGCTTTGCTCTTAGAGGTGGGCCCGTCAGCAGAGGGGACGCCAACCCGGTCCATGCCGAGTCACTGAACGGGACTAGGACATGTGACCCCAACAGACCAGAGGCTTTGTTTCCTCCTGCTGGTGAGTCAGCTTCAGGCGCACAGGCCCTGCCATCAGTACTGTAACCTGGCTCAGAAGACTGGGAACGGTCAAACGAAGTCAGGTTCCCACAGAGGGGCTGTGTCCAGCCCAGGAAGAGAAGCTTCTTGCAAGAAGTTATGTTTGAGGGATACAGCAAATGGTGCAAGAAAATATGCTGATGGAAGATGATTTTCATCAGTCCCTAGAGCCAGAAACTATAAAAATAAAACTGGGAAGAAAAGCTAACTAAAGAATTTATTTCCAAATCCAGTGGAATTGATTTCCTATTCTTTTTCTTGAAAAGCTGCTGGGTTACAAAAATCCGAGTTTATGTTTTTGGTAGCGCAGTGACTATAAATGTTGCCAGTCAATGCCAACCAGTGTCTGATTTGCTTCCTGTGCGTGTCCGATTTCCTCCGTGATACTGTGCTGGTGCCAGAGCTTCTGAATCTTCTTAAATCGCTCTTTGCACAAATGTAAAGGATTTCCCCGTCTAGAAAGAAGACAGATGTCACTCTGGATGCATTCTGTTTATTCATCTATTTTATCTCAGCCTTTCCTGGTTTAGGAAAAGTTATAAGTTATTGCTTTTAGATCCTCTGCAAAATTTCTGTTTGGCAGGCGACTGTGGTTATTAAGACGTTAGTTTTGCAGGTTTGCTAGGAGGAGCTGAAAGGGAGTAAGTGCTGAAAAAAGAGGGAAATGCACACGAGCTATACTTCCTCAGTCAGGGCTGAAGGAACAGGGCAGGGCTGAGCAGGAGGGTCTGGGTTGAGAAGCTAAAACTACCAATTCATTGTCCATTTCATTGGTTGAAGGTAAACAGAAGGGCGGGGCAGGGGAGAGGGTAGAAGGAAAACCACAGGGGTACATGTGTTCCTCAGAGTACTATCTTTCAGCCACAAAGTCTAAGCAAAGCAGCCAAATGTGAATAACATCTGGGCCTAATGTAACTAAGCACAGGTTTTGGTGAGTTCATGCCTGGGGCCTCTGCTCCCAATTCACAGGACACACTCCCCTCACTCTCTGACCAGGGCCCCTCCTAAGAGCCCACACTCCTTAGGGAACAGGAAAAACCATCACCAGGGGGCATGTGCCTACAACCTCACAGCTAAGCACCTGGGCAGCCCATCTACTTATTCTGCCTGTTTCCAGACCCTGAACTTCTGAACTTCAAGGCTGGATGGTTATATCTAGGTTAAGACTTACCTTCTTTGGGCAAAAGGAGATGGTCTAACAAATTTTGAAATAGTACTTGAGGGAACTGCTGTTAGCGTTTTGCTTATAATGGAAGATATCATAGAAGTGATTAAGCCTGTTGTGTTGCTCTATATGTCCTAAATCTTTGTCCCCCAGATTCTTACGTAATAAGCCCATTTCTTATCAATGAAGATTTGCTCTCTTTAGATCACGTGAAGAGCCCGGGTCTCCCCATACAAAGCCACACCAGTTCCAACGGGCTCTCCCTACAGAGCTCTGATGCCGTGGGTGCCACATGGCAATTCAAACAGTTCTGACTCTCTGGAGTGAGAAATGGGAACAAGCTGCAACCTGTCTTGTTCTTTCCTTTATCCCGATGGCCCTCATGACAGTCTAAGGGCTGGGAAAGGGAGTGCCGACCGGGAGTCCACAGATACCAGCCATCTCTGCCAGAGCAGAAGCCCTGTGGCAGCCTGGGCTGTGAGCAGACTGGCTTCCGAGCCACATGGCTCACCATGCTCACCATGTACTGAAGGCTCTGGAGGCCCAGAGTCAGTGAACCCAGCCCCCCAGGATGGGGGCCCTTACCTGAGGAGCTGGTCAGTCTCCCCATAGTCATCAAGGTATGGAGGAGAATAAAAACAACCTTTGGTTCTGCCGGCTAAAAATAGCACCTGACATTCCCGTACTCTGTAGAGAGACCATTTACATGTTATACATTACAACCAAGGTTTGGCTTCAGCTCCAAATGGGTTGAAGTCTTATAAAAATAAACAGACAACAGCATTTACAGCAGAGACAGAAGAGTATCAACACATCATTAAAATCACTGAAATGACTGTACTGTAAGTCAATATACTGAGAAAGTGGGACACTGTGGAATAAGAATTGACAGCTCCCATAATAGCAGCATTTAAAAAACTGTTAAGTGTGAGAAAGTTAACTTCTAAACATAAAATAGTTACTGGTATTTTTAACCACTATCCTGAGAAAATTACCCATTATAAAATGGTATACAAACATTCTGAATTAGGCTGACTTGAAACACAAAGCAATACTGTACATGACAAAAAGAATTTTGAAATATGACAGACTGGGGAAAATGCTACTTGCACATTTCTCCCTAAGGGCTATTTAAAAAAGTGTCTCTTGATCCCTGACAGGTTTGCTTGACTTTTTAAAAATTGAGCTCAATTCAATAGTTATTGAGAACCTATCACATACAAGAAACTGTCAGGCACTGAGATGACTAAGATATGGAGATGGTCTATGCTCCGAGGAGCTCACACTCATGTCCCTTCTCTCCTTCAAACCCTGAAATGGCTTTCATCTCCCTCAGAGACGACACTGGGACATGCCAGGAGCCACGAGTCTCCCCATGATTCCATCCACCCCAGTGACGCCAGCCTCCTGGCTCTTTCTAACACACGGCAGGCACATTCCCCAGCCACTGTGTACTTGCTGCTCCCTTTCTAGAATGCTCTACCACTTCTTTAGGTCTTTCTTCAAGTTACCTTTTCAGGGAACCTTCCCTGGTTCCCCATCTAAAATTCAACCCCCAGCTGCCATTTCCGATTCCCCTCCTTTGCACACAGCACTTTCTAAATCCTTACCAGTCTTGTTGTCTCCTGTCTCCCTCACTAGATGAGCCCAGGAAGGCGAGACTTCGGTCTGCTTTGTTGACTACTGCATTCTCAATGCCCAGGATACACAAGTCATAGTAAGTATTTGTTGTATGCTGTTGAACACACACAACTATATACATTGACCTGTAATATGTCCGAATCCAAAAGCATGACGATACAACAAAAGGAGTAATTGTGACTAAATCTGGGTAGAAAATCTAGTCAGGCTCCCCATGTTCTTCAAATGAATACAGTACATGCAAACAGCAGTCTGGGAATTCTTGGCAATGCGGCAGTTTTAGTGCCACCCTTTGACAGGCATGCACCGCAGTAGATGCAAAGCTAACAAGCTCCCTCAGGGCTCACCTACCTCAGGAAGATGCACACTCCAGAACCACAGGAGTAGGTGTGAGCCGTGCAAGCACCCACATCCTCCCCGTCCAGTTCAGCCTGGCAGCAGTAGCTCTGGGAGCACAGCAGAGTTCCACACACAAGGCACAGAGTTGGGGTTCTGCTCTTATCACCGCCTGATTTGGGGCACCTCCATGGAACAACAACAACAAAAAGCACAAGTCATTGCTCTGCAGGAGAGGGGCTGAAGAGCTGGCGGTGGTAAAACCACTGTGGAGCCAAACTGTGCAACAGCAGGTAGAGCTGAAGTTGCCTGCACCCTATGGTCCAGGAAAACTATTTCTATAATTGGGAACACCTCACACACATTTACACAAACACATGTACTGGAAACAATCAACAATTAGAGAAAAAAAGAAATAAACTCATCAATAGGAGGAAAAGTATAAATTCTACTACTATTCAATTATGAAATACTACATACAGTGAAAAGTGATGAATGAAAAGTTATATATGTCAAGTGTATAAATAAATCTTACAAACAATGCCAAGTGAAAAAGGTGTAGGATATGTACAGTGCAATGTCATTTTACAGCTTAAAACATGCACAATAATAATAATAAATAAGAATGCTGCTTAGGAATATAAACATTTGCAGTTAACATGTAAATGCCCAGAAATGCTCCTATTCCATTCAGAACAGTGGATCTCTGATGCACTAGACAAGAGATACATACACAGCTTCAACTGTCTAGGTAACACTTAATTTTCTACACTACTGATTATTCTTTATGTTACTGGCTTATTAAATATATAATCATCTATTAAAAATTACTAAGGGCTCTTATTACTTTATACCAGGTGGGGCAAAAGTGGGTTTACAGTTGTGAGTATACAAAAGACAGTTTCTTCTTATATTATTACTTATTGTATTATTTTCCATACAAACAACTACTTTTGCCCACCCTGAAGTGCAAATTATTATTTAGATAATCTTTAATGAACCAAACTTGTTTCCCATCAGCCCCTTTCCCAAATCTTATTCTAAAACATGGTGGGATGATGCTTTTACAAGTTAACTAGTGTAAAGAACACTGGTGTTACAATTTCCCTACCCAAACAAAACAAAACAATGAACAAAATCCCTTAATTCCGTGTAGTGTTTCCAGTGGTAGGAAATGCTCAGTTTTCTAATATCAAAACTTACGAGAAATTAGAGGCTTGATTAATGAGGCTGCTGTAATCCTCTGGAAGATCTATCAATTTGTTAGATTCTCTTGGATAGCTTAAAAAAACACAAAGATAAAACCAATTAATATGAGGTCATATCACAGCAATGACAGGATAACTCATTTGTAACTTAGTCGAAACAAATAAAGGTAGATTGAACCCGAGTGCTGAGAGCTACCACAGTGGTACATGAAGCCACAGCAAAAAATTTAAAAAGTTATACTTAACCTAAGACCTTAGGGTTAACATTTTTACTTGAAAAGCTCAGAATAAATCATTAGGACAGTAGATAGTATGTAGATCCTGCCCCATTTAAGTGAAAATGTGGTAACTCTGGGGAGTTGGGGGGAGGGACAGAAAAGGATGTTCATTCCCAGGCTTCTACCAAAACAACCCGGTAATTGAGCCCAACCACAGAACCTAGGAGAGAGAAGACAGAAAAGATGTGTTTATTAAAGGTGATCTTAAGGCACAATGAGTGGGAGGAGAGAAGAGAACAGGTAAGTTGAGGTACCATGTCATGTTGGCAAGTTAATTCAGATACAATTTAGAACCAAATTCAATTGGTATTTGAGAGCACACTCTCAGGGTTCACACCTGCCCGAAAGGGCCATGTGGTTTAGCCCTTCCCTACTTTACCTCTGGCAGAGATAGGAGTGGACTGACACCAGGAGGGAGCTACTTGGACCACAGTAGTTATACCAAAATCGCTTGAGGAAAATTTGAGGTAGAGGGACATACATGCTAGGAACCCAACTTTAGAGAAATAGATTTGGTAGGTAGGGACCTGAGTATGTGTTCAAGTTTCCAGTGTTGTTCTGATGTATACCTCAAGTTGAGAACTACTGTTCCACATCGTAAGTTCTGACCGCAGGGTTGAACCAAATGAAACTGGTGGTACTGAACCATTTTTACTTCCAAAAACTTCAATTTCATATTGTTCAACCTAAAAAATTGTGTATGGTCTCTGGATTTGGGGCAGACTGTGTATAAAATCAAAGAAATATAACACATAATCTCCTCTAGCCCTCCGATTTTTATGAATATAGTCAGCAGAGCCAAGGAGATATTAATAGATGAAATACATCTGTTATGACCTGGTAGAGCATACTGCAGAATCAGAATAGAGCTAATGTCAAAGGAATGAAAAAAATGACTGGTCACCACCTGACAATTAGTGAAGCTGAGTAATAGATATGTGGAGTCTTATTATGCTATTCTTTTATTTTTCTTTCAGAACTGCTTTTATTTGGATAAATGAGCCAAGGAGTCTCATTTGTAACCAAGACGGAATTCACAGGATGTTGTTACATTCACACTTAAAAAATATATCTCTATGTACAGGAATTTGCAGATAGATGTAAACATATGTTACTTTCCAAGTACATTCCTCCCCTTCTTCTCGGAGGAAAAAGAAAAAGCCATCCAACCAGGCAACTCCTTCAAATTAACTTTAATATAAAGATGCAGATATCTCAAAACAAAAAAAAAGGGGTTCTTCTGACTGACTGGGTATCACAGGAGAGAACACAGAATGAAGTGATGACAACAGCTTGACTTCAGATAGAACTGGACTGTTTAAAACTGTATCTAGGAAAAACAGGCAGATTTCTAGAAGGAAATTCACTCCTTATGGAAGCTATTTACTGAGCCAATATGGCTGGTTTACACGTTCACTAGTATAAAGTCACCTAGAGCAGGACTCTTGGCCTCAGCTGACACCAGCACAGCCGGGTGGCCATGGGCACTGCCGAGGCTGTCCCTACTCTAGGTATGGAGGCCCACCTGAGTTCACCTCCTGTGCTTGGTTCATGCCTTCCCATGCTGCAACTGTCTGGCGTTATACAAGATACTCTGCTGCTTACTCATTTCAACTACCCTTCAAGTTAATTAGAAAAACTTTTATTAAAATAAAGGGGGGAAAAAGGCATCAGGTTATCTCATTTAGGCTGTGCGCCCCAGTCCCGACTGGAGGCATGCTAGGTGGGAGTATGTGGGGGGTATGGCCAGGGGGGACAGATGGAGGTGGGTAGCTAGCTGGGGGGCAGGCCCAGGCCTGGAGGAGGGTGAGGTGGGACAGTGTGGGTGGGAGGCAGGAAGTTTGGGTTGAAGATGGGTGGAGGTGAAGGGTAGCTTGAAGTGGGGGGTGGAATGGTTGGTGGGGTAAGTAAAGAGGCTCGGGGAGGGTACACTAGCTGTGGGGGTGGTTGGCGGGGGTAGACATGGAAATAGTAGAGCAGGTGAGCTGGTGGGCCATAGGCTGGGGGCAGGGTGCTGTAGGAGGGGCCCTTGGTCTTCATCATGGACTGCAGGCTCTGGGAGCCCTCTCCAGACATGTAGGAGCTGGTGGTGGACATTCAGTTATGTAGCTGGAATGTAGTGATGGCAGTGACTATGGTGGTAGCTGGTGCACAGGGGTTCGGTGGGCCGGGGGAGGAATCTGGATTTTGGGGAGGTCAGTGGAAACCATAGGGCCTGGTGGCTTGGCCTTGTGTAAGGAGCCAAGCGGGGAGGCTTCCAGTTTGGCAGTGGGTGGGCCGGAAGCAATGGAGGGTAAGAAGCTTCATTTAGTGGTGGTTCTGCTGCTTTGATCTTCTTTGGGAGAAACAGCCGTGGCTCTTTTCACATGGCAGGGAGGACTAGGCTACTGGGATGGCTTCTTGGGCTGTTGGGCTTGCTGTGGCGGTAGTGGTGGCTGGGCTGATGGCTGCAGGTCCTTGGGGGATGGTTCAGAGCTGACTGTGATGGTGGCACTGGTGGCACTTGTAGTGTAGGGTTGAGTGATGGGGCTGTTGCAGCTGATGGGTCCTTGACGAGTAAAGATCCAGGATTTGGTGGCAGATGTCTTCCAGAACATCCACAAGGCCATCTTGCACATACTGCCCCCACCATCTCCAATATATGGGTTTCGAGGTTCATTCTTGTATTTCAAATTTGCATAAACATCCCGCAAGATATATCACTGCTACTGCTATGATCTCTGGTTCCCACTGCAGTGACAAGGATGTGCAGGAACTGTCATTTACAGAGGCCCATGCCATTTGAACCAACTTTTGAATTTTATCACCTTTGAGTTGTTTTGCATATTTGAGTAGGAACTAGTATAATTGTACTACCTGTAAGTCAAACTATATAGTCTGTAGTAAGATTTTCTCCAAACCCACTACTTCCTTTGGGTCATCTCCAAACTGGCCAAATTGTCCATCATTTAATAGACTACAAGCTGTTTTGATGATATCTTTAATTTTTTGTGAGTTTCTTCTACTTTCCCAGCCAGAAAGAGACAACAAGCTCCTGTTACGTATCGTGGGAATTGTTTGAAGGAATGAAACACATACAAGTGATGAAAAGAAATTATTCCAGTTGCCAGAGCATTGTAGTTAGCCCCAGATGTGTGTCCACATCAAAGATGAACTCAATCCCGCCTTGGCAGTACCGGTCTTCAGTGGCTGGAGTCCTTCTAGCTGAGAGGGTGTACGAGCTAAGTCTTTCTTAAATCCCAGTACCAGCATGGATTTGTGCGGTTCAGGTTTGCTGAGGTTACTGAAGGGCTTGAATTTTCTCTGTTCTCCTTCATTTATTTAAGGAGAATGTTCTTTTCAAAAGATTCCCTGAAAATGTTAGAATCCCCTTGCCTCGGGCCCCTCAGACCTCTCTCCCTGCCAACTTCGGCCACTTTGGACGAATATTATACTATTCTTTAAGCTTTTGAATAGGTTGAAGTTTTCCATAATAAAAGAAAAAAAATAAAGCTAAGAAAAAAGTAAAAGAGGACCCACATTTTTTAAAGCAAATATTTCAAAAGATAATTTTGTTATTTGCTTCCTCTGCCAAAAATAATGCATTATATTTATGTTCCTAATTTTGATTTTTTTTACAAACTGTCACCACCACTGGACTAAGAAGAAAAAAATATGAGGACACGATGGCCTACATCTTGGATTCACTGAAGGTCAGGAAGCCAGTGTCGAAGGAACACAGTACCTGCCTCCCTGCTTCCCGCCCCACCATGTATTTGACAAAATTTAACTTACCTAATAGCATCTCTTTCACCTTCCAGATATCTTTTAACTTCAATGTGCTGACACCAACTTTAATGTAATCGGAAAAAAAGAAAAGTTTTTATTTTTGAAAGGTTAGAAATAGAAGTTTTTCTTCTCTAAATCCAGTAAGAGGGAAAAATCTTCTTTGCTTAATATATTTAACAACTCAAAAAGAAGTTTGGAGGAATACCATATTTTGTCTGCATCTTTTAAAATAAAAAATATGACCCTATAATTTTCTAAAAGAATGCTAAATATATTAAAACTTGTGGCTACAGACACAGTTACCCTAATTTGGACACTCTGGAAAAACCAGTATGAATTAATGACAAGCTCTTATTATGTGGAGATAGAACACTTATATTAAAAAGTTTTTTTATTGTAGTAAAATATACATAACATACAATTTATCATTTAGCCATTTTTAAATGTATAGGCCTGTGGAATTAAGTACATTGACATAGTTGGGAAACTACCACCACCATCCATTTCTAGAACTTTTCCAACTTGACAAATTGTACTTGTTAAACAGTAATTCATTCCTCTCTCCCCAGCCTCTGGCGATCACCATTCCATTTTCTGTCTCCATGAACTCGACTACTCTGGGTTCCTCAAATAAGTAAAAACAAATAGTGCCCTTTTGTGACCGGTCCATCCATATTACGGCTTATATCAGAACTTTATTTATCCATTCATCTGTTGATGGATATCGGCTATTGATGGATACTGGCTCTGAACGTGAGTGTACAAGTGTATATTTAAGCCCCTACTTTCAATTCTTTTGCAATATATATCTAGAAATGGAACTGCTGGATCATATGGTAATTCTATGTTTAACTTTTTGAGGAACTACCATACTGTTGTCCAGAGTGGTTACACCGCCTTCTATTCCTACCAGCAATGTACATGGATTCCAATTTTCCAACATCCTCATCAACACATATTACTGCTGCCTGCCCTTTTAATTACAGCCGTCCCAATGGGCGTGAAGTGGTATCTCACTGCTGTTTGGATTTACATTTCCCCAATGACTAGTGGCTTTGAGCACGCTTTCATGTGCTCATTGGCCATTTGTACATGTTCTCTGGAAAAATCCTTTGTGCTTTTAAAAATTTTTTTTTGAAAAACTTTTTTTCTTTGGTCATTTTTTAATGGGTTGTTAGCTTTTTTCTTGTTTAGATATAGGAATTCTGGATATACATGTTCTGGATATTAATCCCTTATCAGATATATGATTTGAAAATATCTTTTCTCATTCTGTGCATGAAATAGCCAAATTTTACTTTAAATACTGATCGGCTGCCTCGCATATGTGCTCTGACCAAACACCAAACCTGAACCTTTCAATGCACGGGGTTGAAGCTCCAACCAACTGAGCCACACTGGCCAGGGCAAAGCAGCCAAATTTTATTTTGTTTTAAAACAGCCACATTTTAAACTAAGGGTATTGGACTAGGTAATCCTTAAGGTACATTTCAGTTCCCCAAATTTATGGAACTGAGTCCTTAATAAGTAAGTTGATCAGAGGAAATAACCATGTCTACCACTACTCTCCTGGAGTATTATTTGTTACAATAACAAACCTGCTTATGTTATTTACCAGCGTGGCAAAAACCTTACCATAAAGGTAAGTCATTAACTAAGAGGCCTAATCATTATCGTTTAAAGTACACGGGCTGAATTCTTCCAAGCTCACTACTTGAGAATTTTGCAGTATCTGTGATAAATTGAAGTTTGTTTCCATATAATTTCGTTCAATGTAATTTTTAAAAAGTGTATAATTATTACCTTTCAACCAGTAATTTCGTTATCTCACTATTTTCTTGAAAAAGGCAAATGAGGTTGTTTGGCAGGGAAAGATAGTTACATAAATGTTCAAAATGGCTTGTTCCAGAAACTGTAAATGGAGAAGAAAAGAGTAATACATATAACAACTAGGAGTAGAACCTGTATTGGAGTAAGCAATAGCAGAGCTTAAAAACAAAAAGCATGAAGAAAGTTCAAAATTGCTAGGTACATTAACTTGTAGGAAGTTAACAAGATGGCACATGGACGGGACCCACAAAAAATGACACAATTCAGAGTGGAGTCAGGTGACTCCTAAGTCAAATTGGTTATAGTTCCTTGGTGTCTGTTTTACCATTTGCAAAATGGTTTACCTGCATGACTACTTCTTGGGGTTAGTTATAAACATTAAATCACAAATCAACATCTGAGTGCTCCAGAAAAGTGTAAAGCAGCACAGGAATATAAGATGATTTCACCATGGGAGATGGATTGAAACACTTATTCTAATCACCCCTGTAAATGATTAGGAAGTCTAAATCAGTCTATATGGGGCCTGGGCAACTAGCTGAATGGAGATGCAAGTCAACAAACTTAGAGAGCAGCATTACATGCAGGTACCCTTTGCCAGGCTCTATAGATACAGTAAACTTTAAATCTACATTTACACTACTTTCATGAAATGAATCAAAATAGAACACAGAAAACAACCATGAAATAGCAAACGAACTCCTACATTAAAACCAGATTTATATGCAAATATGGATGTTCTGAACTTGAAAGTTAAAAAACACTTGAAATAGTTTTCACTTTTTAAAAGCCAAAGAACCCAGTTTATGAATAATATATAATTGGACATTTTAACATATGAAAGCAAAATTAGTATACTTTAGAACATGTAAACATACAAAAAGCATATTACTGAGATCAAATAAAAGCAGACATATAACCCTGGCTGGCGTAGCTCATTGGTTGAGCATTGACCTGTGAACCAGAAGGTCATGGTTCGATTCACAGTCAGGGCACATGCCTGGGTTGTGGGCTCGATCCCCAGTGTGGGATGTGCAGGAGGCAGCCAGTCAATGATTCATCATTGATGTTTCTATCTTTCTCTCCCTCTCTCTTCATCTCTGAAATCAATAAAAATATATTAAAAAAAACCCCAGACATATAAATAGACATTTTTATTCTATAATTGTGTACATCACCATAGTCAATTAGTTATATTCTAAGTTTTTAATCTGTTTTCAGTTTTGCAAGTTACCTTAATTCTAAGCTGCTAGAGTGAAAGACAACATACATTTCCTACATTTTGAAAGAAATTAGAAGTTACCTTGAATTTCAGGTGGGGAAGGAACTCCATTTAAGTAATGAAAAAACAAAGCAGAACATTTCAGGAAGGGCATGATGCCAGCTCTGACACTCCTCCACAGGTGCCAGCCAGAGGGTATTTCTTTCAAAGCACTAAGAGAAAAATGAAAATAGAAAAATTTAAAAGGTCATTCTAGCTACAGCATAATGTGGGTAGCCCTGACTATAACAGAATGTCAGTTATAAAATGGTGATATCGCCCTGGTTGGTTGCTCCATGGTTAGAGTGTCAGCCCATGGACCAAAGGGTCTCAGATTCCATTTCCGGTCAAGGGCACTGCAGGTTTAATTCCCTGGCCACGTCAGGGCACAAGCAGGAGGCAACCAATCAATGTATCTCTCTCATGTCAATGTTTCTCTCTCCCTCCCCCTTCTCCCTCCCTCCCACTCTGTCTAAAAATCAATGGAAAAAATATCCTCGGGTGAGGATTAAAAAGTAAAAATGAATAATAAAATAACATGGTGATATAGCTTCAAATGCTGTTATTAAAATTTATAATAACATAAAAAGAAAAATCAGAAAATAAAAACTATCCACTATTCTAGAATTTTTATCAGCAGGCACTATTTTGGCAAACTATTTTCATACTAATTGGTCTTAGTTATAATTTAATATATGAAATTTAAAATTAACATGCTTTTCAGAATATCATAAATGCTATATTCTGGAACACAGCAATCATAACTGATACCAAATTATTCCCCTGGATGTGAGGGCGATCTGGCTGCGACATCTGTCACCCCATTGATCGCCAGGGTTGATTCGGCTGATCTGGCTGGCTAGGCGGGTGTCCCCCTCCTCCCTCACCGATCCACGTGCGTCCCTCCCGAAGCTGCGCGCTCGGTCGAAGAGGACGACCTTCCCCCCCGAGGAGAGGACCGGTCTTCGGTCAAGGGTATACGAGTAGCTGCGCTCCCCTGCTAGAACCTCCAAACAAGCTCTCAAATTATTCCCCTGCAAGCAAGTACTTAGACTGTTTAAATTCTTTGCTAATATAAATAATATCAGAGTGTATACATTTATGCCTATAAGTTTTTAATATAAATATATATTTTTATTGATTTCAGAGAGGAAGGGAGAGGGAGAGAGAAATAGAAACATCAATGATTCTCATTGCATGCCCCACACGGGGGTGTCGAGCTTGCAAACCCAGGCATGTGCCCTGACTGGGAATCTAACCATGACCTCCTAGTTCACAGCTCAATGCTCAACCACTAAGCCATGCTGGCTGGGCAGGTTTATCCATATATTGGATTATTTTGTTAGTGTAGATTCTCAGAAATGGGATATCTTGGTTAAAAAACAAAAGTTCTTGACATATACTGTGAGGAAGCTAAATGAAGTTGTTGTACCAATTCAAAAGGACTCCAACAATATGTCAGGTTCGAATAATTTCACTGCATTCCTGCCAGTCTTGATATTGCCTTAAAAACAGATTAGGTCAATTTAATTTGCACTTTTAAATTCCTAGTGAGATAATGTTTTAGAATAGTACTTTGCAAAATAAATTCCATGTCTCCATGTACCATATCCTAAGCAAAAGAAGGGTTCCATGGCCAAGTAAATGTGAGAAGCTCTGAGAATTCTTTTGTAAAACATCAACTGTCCTGGCTAGTGTGGCTCAGTTGGTTGGGCGTCAGCCTGTGCACCGAAAGGTTGCAGGCTCCATTCTTGGTCAGGGCACATGCCCATGTTGTGGGTTTGATCCCTGGAAGGGGGCATGCAGGAGGCAGCCAATCAATGTTCCTCTCTCTCCAAAAATCAATAAAAACAACAACAATAAAAACATGTCAACACACAGCACTTTCCCCTATTTACAAATAAGTGCCTTTTTCATGCTATCATGTAAAGGTTATGATCCCACCTTCCTGTACACTGGCGAAGTGTTTTATACAAAGCAAGAACTGCTAATTCTTCTTCACCAGCAGGAGTTTCTTGATCCATTCCATTCTCTTCTGAAAGAAAAGGAAATAGTACTCTGTATTTGCCTATTAAGTGGATTGGTGACCACGTCATTTAAGCACTCAAATATAGCATGAAAATACTCCCACAAAACACACAGAACTTAAATTCCTCAGGTGTGAGCACAGTATTGCTCTCCATCATAACAAGGAGCCTGCAGGCTTTGAGAAGAAGCTGTGCTGATTCAGGGTGCCAGGTAGCATGCAGTGAGCTAGATCAGCTAAACATACAGTCTATGGTACTCAAATATGACTAAACTTATAAAATAAAAATGACTCACATTGTTAAGGAATTTTAATAGGAGAAAGAAATTTGTTTCAAAGTTTGTCACATTAAATAAGGACAAGTAGCCTAATTATAATTTATATACTATTCTCATCCAAGTACCTTTTCCTTTAATACTTCCTTCAAGAAGCTGACAAAAAGGAGTTACCTGTACATGAGGTAAGTAGGATCTGGATGATGTGTGCCATAGTAACCAGATGGAAAATATGGAGGTCTCCAGTGCCAAGGCTGATCCCTGAAAAATCCTGACACTGCAACGCAGGAAAAGCAAGCACCAAGCCCACCTAGATACCAAATATAGAGTGTCAGACAGCTTGCCATTCCCTTCACACCTAAACGTGTTTCCATCTTATTGATATGACCCCCTTTGGAGCTCAGCTCCTCCCTTTAAGAAATCTTTGTTCTTAAATAGCACATACATTAGAAATCCCACTTGAATTGGCTAAATGAAATTCCTTAAGAGTAGAGTCTTGATGGGTACTATCATTTCATTTATCCAGTGATTCCCCTCTATAAAACTTATCCTACCTAATAAAGAGGGAATATGCTCATTGACCCTTAAGCCATTGCAAAGATGGCGGTGCCCACAGCCAATAAGGAGGGAATATGCTAATTGCTGCCCCACCCTCAAAGGTGGTGGCGCCCACAGCCACAAGATGGCCAGCATGGGTGGGCAGTTGTGGGTGATCAGGCCAGTAGGGGAGGGCAGTTGGGGGCGACCAGGTCTGCATGGGAGGGCAGTTGGGGGCAATCGGGCTGGCAGGGGAGCAGTTAGGCGTTGATCAGGCTGGCAGGGGAGTGGTTAGGGGGTGAGTAGGCTGGCAGGCAGAAGCAGTTAGGGGCAATCAGGCAGGCAGGCAGGCGAGCAGTTGGGAGCCAGCAGTCCCGGATAGTGAGAGGGATGTCCGACTGCCTAAACCGGCAGCCAGACATCCCCGAAGGGGTCCCAGATTGGAGAGGGTGCAGGCTGGGCTGAGGGACACCCCCTGCCAGTGCACAAATTTCGTGCACCGGGCCTCTAGATGTAAATAATCCTATATAATAAAAGCCCAGCAACTGAATGATGGAACAACCAGAACGACCTATTGACCAGTCGGTATGATACGCACTGACCACTAGGGGGCAGACGCTCAATGCAGGAGCTGCCCCATGGTGGTCAGTGCGCTCCCATAGTGGGAGCACCGCTTGGTGACTGTGAAGAGCAGTGCTCCCGCAGCGGGAGCAGCAGCTCAGAGGGCGGATCCACAGCTGCTTGAGTGGCTGTTCCCGCAGCAGGCTGATCCCCTGCAGGCCATGCCCCCCTGCCCCTGCCCAGTACACGAATCTCATGCACCAGGCCTCTAGTAATAAAAATAATAGCCTTGGCTGGTGAGGCTCAGTTGGTTGGGTGTCGTCCTGTGTACCAGGAGGTTGCTGGTTCAATTCCCAGTCAAGGGCACATGCCCGGGTTGCAGGCTCGATCCCCAGCGGGGGGCATCAGGAGGCAGCTGAACGATGCCTCGCTCTCACATCGATGTCTCTTTTTCTCTCCCTCTCTCCTCTCTCTCTCTAAAAGTCAAAAAACTATTCTAATGAAAAAGAAGCAAACAAAAAACAGCTGAAATCTTTCTAGGAGCAAGCAGTGGAAAAAGCAAGGATTTTGGACCTACAATGATCTAGCTATGAATTCCAGCTCCTCTTATGAGCTTTTTAGACAAGTTAACACCTCTGAGTCTCAGTTTCCTTGTTAGTAAACTACAGATGATCTACATGTGTTTTTAATACTTCAGTAGCCAGGCTGTAAAGGACTAAATAAGAATGCATGTGAAAGCAGTCAGGTCTACAATAAGTGTTAGCTCTCCTATTACCTCCTGCTGCCTATACGATGGTGGTTTCACAGGAGCGATGGGAACAGTCACAAAGGCTAACACTTACTAGGGACACAGTGCTCTAAGCTCCTTACACTGACCATCCCACTGAGTTCTGACACACTGTATGAGGTAGGTACTAACCAACTTAAAGGTACAGAATCTGATGGCCAAAGCAATTAAGGAAACAGCACTTGAGGCTGCCCCCTGTGGCACTGCACTCAATGTCCTGAGGAAGGGGGCCCTTTGAGGTGGGGCTGAAGTTCAGCCAGTGGTGTGTACTGGCACCAGCTTGCCCAGAAGACATACCTTTCCCTAAATCACACAAAGGAGATTTCTATTGCTAAGTAGTGTGACCACAGACAGGGCTGTATCTGCTCAATAGCACTGTATGGGTCAGCAGCAACCCTTAATCACTAGTATTATTTTTACGTCTCTGTAGGCAAGAAGCATAGAGAGGTGAAAATTATTTTTTTTAAAATATATTTTTTATTGATTTCAGGGAGGAAGGGAGAGAAATATCAATGATGAGAATCATTGATCAGCTGCCTCCTGCACACCCCCAATTGGGGATCGAGCCCGTAACCCGGGTATGTGTCCTGACCAGGAATCAAACCATGATCTTTTGGTTCATGGGTCGATGCTCAACCACTGAGTCACACAGGCCAAGCAATGTTTTCTTTTTGAGGCCCCTCAGAAAGAACTACATTCAGAAGTGGTAAGATGGTAACTCCTCCTGTCTGCCTCTATAATTTTCACTAAGTCTAAGGTAAAGTTCTATAGTACAATAAAGGAAATGTCAAACACAAATTACAAGATACTCACCAATAAATGAAACATGTCAATGTCTAATATGCATGGAAGGTCTCCATAATTGTCATTAGGTACCAATGCTGAATATTTAAAGAAAAAATACATTAGCACATTTCATATGCCAACATAAGTATTATTTTTAAAATGTATATAACCTAGTTTACATTTATCTTTTTGCAAGATATATATGAATTTATAAGCTAGAACTTGTATATAAAACAAACAGTATTACCAAAATATTTCTCTTGTAATGGAGAGAAGTTGCATGACTAAAACCAAAATTATAGAAGAAAAATTACCATAACATCTATGGTACATGTATTAATACTCACATGCAAAAAGTTTACAAAAGTGCCCTTGCACCACTGAAAGTAATGCCACTGTCCAATGCGCTGCAGCGAATCTTGTTAGTGACCTAAGACAGTCATCCTGAAATAGATTGACACAAAGAAGCCAGCATAAGAAGTAGTTCTCTCTTTTGAGGACTGTTAGTTCAAAGTACAGCCAATTGAAGCAAAGCTAGATGCACAATGAAATCTCTCTAAATGGTATGCAACTGAATTTATGATATCTTTTTTTATTTTATTTTTCACAGAGAGGAAGGGAGAGGGATAGTTAGAAACATCGATGAGAGAGAAACATCGATCAGCTGCCTCCTGCACACCCCCTACTGGGGAGGAGCCTGCAACCGAGGTACATGCCCTTGACCGGAATCGAACCTGGGACCCTTGAGTCCGCAGGCCGACGCTCTATCCACTGAGCCAAACCGGCTAGAGCTATGATATCTTTTAAAAAATGTTTTTTATTGATTTTAGAGAGAGAGAGGAAGAGAGATATTGATAGGTTGCCTCCCATACACACCCCAACCAGGGTGATTCTACATGAATCAAATTACATGATTTTACTCGTAAGGACAATTTTATGATGTACCTGACACTAGCTACACAGTAAAAATTAGCTATCTTTGACTGTATATTTCCCTTCCTCATTTTTCTAGGCATAAAATGTACTGTTTTGACATTAGTGTGTACTTAATTTAAATGTCGCTTATGAAAGGTAGTCACATGTGGAGAACAAGCACTCTGTTTTTAGTTTTTTTCCCATTTTTTCATGTGTTTAACCAAGAACTCTAGATGAAAAGAGCTGAAGTCTATTTAAAAGAAAAACTAGAAATTAAACCACAAACATTACTTCTTCAATATCAGTATAGAAAATGGGTTTACTATGAAATGAGTAAAGCTATGCCTAAATAACCAATTCAGTTTTTAAGCTTTAAAAAAAGCAGAACCAAAGAATTTTCATTCTACCATTCTATGAATTGAGTAAATTAATAACTTACCAGTCTGCAAGGCAAAGGACCAAATAATGGTTTATCTTCATCACTTAAAATTCTTTCTGCAGATTAAAAGTGATTAAGATGGTAAATTTTGTATGTATATTTTATCATGATTTCAAAAAGTAGTATAAACATTCTTTTTGGAGAGAGCACAATACTGTCAGGTTTTGAAATTTCCAAGTCATTATACATGAATGAACTTTGGATGAAAAGTAAAAATTAAAACACATTCCCTCAACTGACAAGAAGCTAAATCCTCACCAAAATGAATTCTCTGTTGCTGGTTAATTTACAACCTGTCAATCTAATATTTTGTCAGTATGTTGCATTTCCTACTTCAAGGTCTTCATATTGTTGCCCACTTTAAACATGTCATGTAAATACAAGCTTCTACACATAACTCATGTCCATGTATGCTTGTGACGTAATGAGAGACTTTAAATCTCTTACCTATGCTTTGGATGGTGTATGCACAACTACCCCAACACATTATGGGCACACGGGGATCTTCTTCATTGGGATGAACCTTTAGTCCCACCTTGTAAGTAGCGGTTCCAAATGTTGTTAGCATTTCTTTTATGCTATCAGAATAAGGGTTCCTGAAACGAACACAGAGAGGATTAGCTCAAAACAATGTGCTCACATCAAATGTTTCAGATTCTTAACAGCTATTTGCTATGCTAGAACTGAACCACTTAAACTACCTAAGGCAGTTGTATGCAAATTAGTAACGAGGAGAATAGGAGATCTAGACAAATAAGAGGAACATAGCCAGGAGAATTGCTAGGCATCTGAAAGATCTATTGTAGCATTTGGGGGGCGGGGGGCGAAGTGACACCTATAGAAAACCAAGTACATGAAAAAAACAAGGCAATTATTAACCACAGGAAAGACAAAATTGTAAAAGAAAAAATATATAATTATAACCCGTAACATGTATCTGTAGCAACAATTATAATGTAAACAATGCCAATGGATTTAACCAAAAATTGTGAAAGAACTCTACTGGGAGACTGGTAAGGAGCAGTGGGTAGGGTTGAGGTAACAGCTGAATACTAAATTGCTAGCCAGTCAACACAAATTACTGTTTAGAAATGATAAATCAAAACAGAAGCTAACTAACTGTTGTAACTAGAAATATGGAAGTAAACAGCAGGACTGGGGATAGTAAGGGGAATGTGGGAGGCATAGGACTGATGTTTTTTCTACTTAAGCGCTATTTTTATTGTGTTACTTAGTACAGGCCAGGAATAATGTCCAGGTGGCTTTACATGTATTATGTCACTTTAACCTCATAATACTTTACAGATGAGGAACCTGAGGTACAGAGAGATCAAGCAATTTGTACAGCTGCATAGCTAGTAGGCAGTGCTACTAGGAACCGAACCAAGCAGTCTAGCTCTAGAATTTATGCTATACTTTATAACTAATTGGCTACGGGGTAAAAGAGGATAAAAATATTCTAGATTTGATCTTGGGTTACTAACAAGTTGGTGGGGCCATAAATAGATGTAGGGAGATCAGAAGTTAGGAAAGCACAGGGTGTGGGGGGAACTGAGCAGTTTGGATTTAGATGTACTGATGAGGTGTTGTTAAGGAAAGCCAGATAAAGGGGTATAATAGGGAGTCAGCAATTCGAACTAGGAGAGGTTGGTGAGAAACATGCCATGTAATTCTTAGGTTCTGATCAATATACTGGCAATAAATATCATCATGCAATGCTTAAATCTCAGAATTCAAGATCAATGTCCTATAATATTTTGCTTCCAGCTTACAAATCATATTCCTACTAACTGCTAACTTAGCTTTCATTTCAAGTGGGCCAAGCTTGAAAGGAATAAATAATGTACTCACTTAGGATGAAAATCAGGCCTAAACCCTTCAGGAAGCTGCAATTCATCCATATTTTCTGAATTCTTTGAAGAGGCAATATCTATAGAAACAAGTATTTTATATCATTATTCATCAGTCCACAATATTTCTGTGAAAGTCCAACATAAATTTCATTCTAAATATAGGTCAAAGAAATTAGAAACTACGGGAAAAATTTCCATTAATAAAAGCTGCATAACACGCATTCAGAGCATGTGAAATCCCACTGCTCTGATTGATCAAGGCACCTTCTTTAGTAATCTGTGCTTTTCCTAATAGTAGAACCACTAGAACATAGCTAGGGAAGGTAGGAAAAGGAGGAGTTTGCTGTTTTGTTTTTTATAAAAATCAATGATATAAATTCTGCTCAGATTGCTCTCCCTGCGTTACAACTGCAGTGCATGCTGTGAAACTTGGGAAGCCTTTGGTAATGCCAACAATAAAATTAATTAGGCCACTGAGAGCTGAAGCTAGCTCTGTAAGAGACAGTTATATTCGCCCACCCTCAGAAGTTCTTCAATAACATGGGGAAATATATGAATAGTATCCTATCTAATAAAGAGGAAATATGCAAATTAACCATCATGTCATAACAAAGATGGCTGTGCCCACAGAGGAGGCCAAGTTCCCGTAACAAGCCTTAATGAGCAAACAGCAGGGGCCTGAGGCTGCGTGGAGCTGGACCAGGGTGGGTACCTGAGGCTGTGCCCCCGGCCTGGTGGGGCTTCACGGGGGACCTCAAGCTGCACCCCCTACCCCGGTGCCAGGCTGGGGGACCCGAGGCCGCAACCCCCCGCCATGCAGGGCTTGACGGGGGACCTCAGGCCATGCCCCCTGCCTGCGGGGCTTGACGGGGGACTTCAAGGCGCGCCCCCCCGCCCCAGCCCAGGGGACCTGAGGCCACGTCCCCTGCCCGGCGAGGCTTGATGGGAGTCTGGATCTAGCCCAACGGGGGTGGGGCCGGCCGGGTCTGGGTCTCGTGTGTTTTCAAGGCTCACGTGGGCAGGGACTTGACTCTGGTTCCCGTGGTGCACCCCAGACTCTGACAGGAGGAAGACTTTCATATACATTTTACTAATTTTCTTTCATCTCTGACACTTCCATTATAGAGAAAGGGCATATAGCAATATTAAAATAGTTCCTCTAATTAATTACCATTTAATGTGCATGAATTTCTTGCACCGGGTCACTAGTTTATTATAAACCTCACATAAGCCAGTGGCTTTTCAAGGAATAAGAAGTAACACAGTCAAGCAAATGTAGTTCATTAAGACAAAGAAAATTAAAGTAAGCCAAATTTTAAAATGAGAGGTTTCATTTAAAAAATATTATGCTGCCTGGCCAGCATGGCTCAGTGACTGAGCATCAATCTATGAACCAGAAGATCATGCTTCAATTCCCGGTCAGGATACATGCCCAGGTTGCAAGCTCAATCCCTCATGTGGGGCATGCAGGAGGCAGTGGATCAATGATTCTCATCAGTGATGTTTCTATCTCTCTCTCTGAAATCAATGAAACATTTAAAAAAATATTATGCTAAGTGAATAAGTCAGTTAGAGAAAGACAGATATCACATAATCTCACTTATAAGTGGAATCTAAAGAACAAAATAAACTAATAAAATACGTCTCGAGACATGGATGCATAACATAGAATAAAAAACTGGGGTTGGGGTGGGAAGAGACAAGAAGAGATTAACCAAAGAACATATATGCTGCCGGAAGCCAATGCCAGCATGTCATAATTGCAAGAGTTTCATCAAAAGGTTGATGGAACTTGGGGACTCAACAAGGGCTGAGTCACATATGTTGTCACCTGTTGGGAATGACTGAAGGCATTTCCCCAAACCTGAAAAGGATGCATTAAATTGACTGTTTGCTGCCAGACAGCTCAAGGCATCTTAATCTACATGTTATTGCCTCCTACTGGCCAAACACCTGAACAGCCGTAGGCTAATAATTCCAATCTGACAATGGACTCTGTATACAAAACCCTACCCTTTGAAGTGTATATCTCCACCTCGCCTCAGGACAATTTGTGTTAATAAAAAGCATGGGGTCCTGAGATGAGGAGATCTTAGTTTCTTGAGCTAGGCTCCTCTGACCCCCAAATGCCTTTCAAAATTATATTTCGTCTCTGGACTCTTAGTTAAATTACACCAGCCCCTTTTCCAGATTGCTGAACCCTTCTTAATGCTGGAACAAGCACCCTGGCAATATGTATACATGCATAACCTATAGACACAGACAATAGCATGGGGAAGGCCTGGGGTGGGGTGGGGGTTGAATGGAGAGGGGCAAAAAGGGAGAAAATGGGAGACATTTGCAATACTGTTAACAATAAAATAAAATAACAATCTTAAACAATTCTTTCTGGACTTTAGGGAAAAATGAAAGCAGATTATCAGAACTTACTAGGAATACTTTCTTCTTTCCTAAGAATCTGTAATGCTTTTATTTGCTGAGATATGGTTCTAATCCACTGAGTCAGATTTGGTTGGTCTGAAAAATTTAACCTGCTAGAAAAAATTATAAAAAGTATTTAGTAGTTTGTTGTTGTTGCTTAGTTAAGATATAAAGACTCAGGTGCATCCTGCCCGGGCCAGGTGGCTCAGTTGGTTGGAGCACCATTCTGTGCATCGGAAGGTTGTGGGTTCGAACCCCCGTTGGGGTGTGTACGAGGGGCAACCAATCAATGCTTCTCACGTTGACGCTTTTCTCTCTCTCCCTTCCATTCTCTCTAAATATCAATAAGAAAACATATCCTTGGGTGAAGATTAAAAAAAAAAAAAAAAAAGATGCGCTATCAACTATAAAAATAAAGGGGGACATCTCTATATATATAAAAAAAAGATATAAAGACTCCTTAAATGATCATGAGCCTAATATTTTAAATATATTTTTGCCAATGGAAATAGAAATATATTATTTGTTACTATGATGCTAATAACATTATTTGTCAAAAACTTCACTTTTTTCAGTATTGGAATTTGCAGGTATTTCTGAAATATCACAGTCCTCATACCACCACCATTATTTACTGAGTGCTTATTATGTGACAAGCACTTAGTAAAGCATTTAACAATATTAGATTCAATCCTCAAATATTAATGAAACTGGTTATATTATTATCCCCATTTTACAGATGAGGAAACTGAGGTTTAGCACTATCTAACTTGACTAGGCCATCTAAGGAACAGATCTGGCATTCAAACCCAGTCATATCAGACTCCAAAGCCTTTATTCATTATTATGCCAAAATTGGCTATTATGGAAAAAATACAAAACCTAAACCACAAAAGTGAGGTGAAATCCAACAAAGGTGTTTTTTTTTCCTCCTTCTATGTAGTGAATCTTTAATCTAACAGTGATTAATTTATCAGTTCAACTACAGATAAGTCAATACCATGACTTTCTTTTGTGATTAAAAAGCATGAGCTTGCAAGGCTGGCCTGGCTCAGTGGTTGCGCATTGACCTATGAACCAGGAGTTCATGGTTCGAATCCCAGTCAGGGAACATGCCTACTTGGCGGGCTTGATCCTCAGTGTGGGGCCTGCAGGAGGCAGTCAATCAATGATTCTCTCATCACTGATGTTTCTATCTCTCTCTCCCTTCCCCTTCCTCTCTAAAATTAATAGATTCATATTCATAAAACTCAAATTAGTATTTGTTCATGTAGATACCATAAGTCTAAACTGAGAAATGAAAATCAGATTTAAATAGTAGACAGTATTAAATCCATATTTTGAAATAAGTCACACCTATTAACTAGAAGCACCCCAAAATTTTTGAAATGACAAAAATTTTCAATTTTAAATACACCAAGGGATTTTCACCGTTTTGGCCCAACTCCTGAAGCTATTATCAGCCAGTAATTTGCAAAAAAATGATATTTAATTGTTAGAATATTCAATAAAGTCCATTTGAGCTTCTGTTCTCTCCCCTATCAATTTACTGAGCATCTCTTGAAAAGTAAGCAGGATCCTAGAAATAAAGACAGTTTTCATGAATACATAGGAATTTTCTATAGTGTCTATGGAAAAACAAGAAATTGTTAATTTTTGGCCTATTTCTTTCTAAAAACCAAAATATTTTATAGGCCTGCTAGAAGAAATGACTAAATAAAAAGTTTGGAAAGTATCTGGAAAACATTATACAATTACCTAGATTCCCCCCTCTGGGCTTATTATTTCATTATCTTCAAAGGCAACTATTGCTTTGATATAAAGATTTTATGAGCCAAAACTTACTTGTTAAAAATATTTCTTGGAGGAAGCAGCAGTGGAATAACAGTGTTACTCAAGCACTCACAAAGGGGACAAAGGAATTCTCCATTTTCTACATCATAGCTTGTATGTAAACGTAATCTCTGTTGCCTTCGCTGTTCTTTAGCTTGAACGGAATCAAAATACCTTTACAATTAGAAAACATGAGGGATCAAAAACAACGGTAATTTTTTTCAGTAAGTACCATAAGCCTCAATATTTTAAATAATTTGTTTTCACAAATAATGCAAAAATAAAAATCTTAACATGAACAGAATTATTTTTAATACAGGTGCTTTAATTTCTGAGTTGCTTTAATGATCAGAATGGGTTCTAAGAGTTCTAAAACAGGCAAATGTGTGCTTATCCCAAGTTAGCGTAGGGAGCCATGGCAACCTCAGGAAGTAACTAGTACACTGTAAAAATATTTTCTTCATCTAGTTTGTTAGTGGACATAGATCCACACATTAAAAAATATAGCTGATATACTATGAAATTTGTCATTCCTTTATATGTATGACAAAGCAACTCAATTTTAATTGTTATTTATTAGGCAGTGATGTGGAGTTTTTCTTTAACATTTTTAGTTCTTTTTCCCCTTTTCTAGAATGGAATTTCCTATATATAAAAATTCAATTTTGAACCTTTGAATAAGTTTTTCTTGACCAATATTAAGAACATATTACCTTTGCCAACAATGGGCATGCATAACGTGTCCACAGCTACCAGTGTGTGTTCCACAAGACAGATCAGGGTGCATGAATAATGGATCGTATTTTTCTGCATTACAAACAAACAAAACCCAAGCTTTTAGTTTTTGTGAAATCCTTGATAAGGGCTTGTAAACTTGAAATGAAATGCTAGTTTATTCCTTTCCTTTGAGATACCAATGATTTATGCAAGACCCTGGATTATTTAGAAAGCAGGACCCTTTAACTTTCATCACCCTGGGCAAATAAAACATCCCTGAATTGTTAAATAAAATTGGAATTCTGTATTTAAGCACATCTAAGCTTTTGAACATTTCATACTCTCAGGGCACTGAGAGACTCCCATTCCCTCCAAAGCCCCGCGCTCAGTAAAGGAACATTCTTCATGGGCTGCACTTAACGCCTGCGGGGCAGCTGGGTCACAGTGATCCCTAGCAAAACAGATGCTTTGGCAGCAATGGGCGCTCCCTAGAGAAGACTCTGCCGAAGGACAACACATGCAGAGAAGAACCCCAATCACTGGACCAGGGTCCAAGTAGCAGCAAAATATCCAGGACAGCGACCCAGACCAGAGGTGGGGAAAAGGGAAAGTCAGTTTCTGCTCTGGTGCTAATTTTTAATATTCAAAGGAAATGAAAAATAAAGACAACCATAATATGGGTGCCTGGTTTCTTTTGGAATATTTCGAGTTCTCTGTGTACAGTAAATTAGTATTATCCTAGAAATTCTATAACATTATAGAAAGAATTACTCAATCTTCAATTTGATTGATAGAACAGTGAAAATATTACAGCATAAAGAAAATCTGCTTACAGCCAGCCAACGTTTTTTTTCTTCATGAAATAACAAAATAAATAAACTTGGAGACTTTATCTTTGATCTGGAATGAAATTATATATCGCCTGGTTCAAATGACCATTTCAAAAGATGAAAACAGACCAATCTTTCCTAACTGGGTGCTTGACAGTCACACTATGCAGACTTTCCTTATAGAGAAAAGGCAATCTTAACAGTGAGTTTTCAAACCTCCTTTCAGTCCTACAGCGTGAAAGGCACTTGCTGCCTAAGTGCTTTGGCAAGTCCAAAGACAGTTTCTACTCTCAAGAAATTTACTGGTATTGCTGAAGCATATGCACATATGAACAACTCTAAGAGGAGAGACAAAAGTGTTTATGGTGGACTCAATAACGTGCAGCTAGATGCCTCTGCAGGAATGATGACTTACTCCCTCAGCAGTGGGAAGACACTCACTGTCATTCCTCTTTAAGGGATGACTGCTTTGCTCAAGGTCACACCTCTTTCCAGAGGACGCCCAAAGCAGTCACTGATCAGTCTCTCCAGGTACAAAGACCAGCCCCCTTGCCCTAGCTCAGCATGCCTCTGGAGGGCCAACCAGCTCAGAGCTCCCATGGGACTGTGAGGGCTTTTGTGACAGCTTAACTTCTCCCTTGCCCAAACTTGCTTCCTTCTCCCCGTCCCACACATGTTGATGCCAAGGCTCTCCCTAATAAACGTCCCAAACGGCAATCTCTATCTATCTCAAGAATTTTTCTGGGGAGAAAAAAATAAAAAAAATCTTTCTGGGGAACCCGATCTGAGATACAATCACTACTCTAAGCCAGAATCTGACTCAAGGATTGCTTCTCACATAGGTAACTCACACAACTGTTCCCAAGACAGTACACTTTGGATCTATCCATGAGACAAAATAATTGTTATTTCTGTGTGTCAACTAATATACAAGCGTGCTGAGGAATGGGAATGATTGTTAAGTAGCAAAGGTGTTAATGTTATATTACAAAGAAAAACGTTCCTTTGAATCCCTGCAATTTACGAGCTGTGTAATTCAGAAACAATATTTAGCCTTCTGCAATGTTTCCATATCTGTCAAGTGGGGAATTTCTGCCTAAGTTACCTGTCTAAGATACCACCAAGCCTATGGAGTTATTGTTAGTTTAATAAAATTTCTGTGTATCACCACACACACTAGGTGGCAGTCATTATTATTTTTTTAAAATATATCTTTATTGGTTTCAGAGGGGAAGGGAGAGGGAGAGAAACATCAATGAGAGAGAATCATTGATTGGCTGCCTCCTGCACACCCCCAACTTTGGATGGAGCCCATAAGCCAGGCATGTGCCCTTGACTGGAATTGAACCAGGGACCCTTTAATCTGTAGGCAGATGCTCTATCCACTAAGCCAAACCACTAGGGCGGCAGTCATTATTAAAAGGAGAGGATGAAGCTATGACTTACCTGGATCCTGAATGACTTTATTTCTGTTTTTTGATAATACAGTTGATCTTTGAACAAATGCTGCTAGTACCATTGCCTTGCTTTCCACCTTCACCTCTTGCTCCTCTTGACACAATATACAGGTAACAAATTGTCTTTGTTTAGGGACCTGAGTTTGTGCTGGGCCCAATGCTGTAAGTGTTGTATCTGACACCATAGGGCTGTAATGAAAGGTCATGAATATAATTAACGAGCCCAAGAAGTTTCAATATAATCGCAAAACAGTACATGCCAGGTATGCACACATACGGTTTTGATGACTTAAAATGCCAGAAATCTTTCATATTTATCAAACTATCTCCTTTAATCCTTAGAGCCTTCAATATGCAACACAGAAGCCATACACTCAGTTAACTGAGCCTAGTGTACTCACTCTTGGTTGTTTTGTTTTTGTTAATCCTCACTAGAGGATTTTTTTTCCATTGATTTTTAGAGAGAGTGGAAGGAAGGAAGGAAAGGAGGGAGGGAGAGAAACACTGATGTGAAAGAGACACAGCGATTGGCTGCCTCCTGCACATGCCCTGGACAGGGGCCGGGGGATCGAATCTGTAAGCCAGGTACGTGCCCTTGACTGGGAATTGAACCCACAACCCTTTGGTGTGTGGCTGGTGCTCTAATCACCGAGCAACACCTGCCAGGGCACTGCGTACTCATTCTTTTGTGAATGACAAGGGTCTCTGTATAACATTTGAAGCATACACATTTATTATCTATAGTTAGAGATACACTCATATACTAAAAAACTCAGATTTATAAGATTAATTCCTGTAACTAGAGGCCAGAGAATTTACCTATCAATCTTCTAAATTACTTTAGGATAAAAAATGTACTTATAAGGAAAAAAATTCTTTCACAGTTGAGAATCAATGGTCAAGAGATTAAAAAATTTTGATTTTTAAAATTCTTACCTATTATCAAGAACAGCAAAGTTAGAGGCTTCCTCCGCTACTGTCTGTTGGAAGAGGTCTTTGTTCTCATCAATGAAGTTCCGCTGCATCTCAGACATCTGGGCCATGACCTTTTCCCGGCGCAGTCTGGCAATCTCAGCTTTTCTCTTTCTCTCAGCCTTGTCTTTGTCTCTTGAACTCTGAAATTATGCTTCATTTAATTAGACCATTAAATGCTAAAGAAAATCCCACCCCCCCAAAAAAACCCCAGAAATATCTTTATTGTAAATACTAATTAAAAACTATTCTACAATCTCACTTTTCTAAACAAAAGATTTATCAACCTAACATGTTAAAAAAAAAAAAAAAGCAGACCATAACTATTAAAAATAGACTAGTGGCACCTTTCTTGGAATTTACATTTTTGTGACTAATATCAACTATCAACTTATTGCAGATAAATTTAAATAGTGAACTTGCTACAATTTTTTGGTGTTACCACACTCTACTTTTTATACCTCTTCCGTTATGGTTCCTTCTGCCTCTGCCACAGAACTGGCGGATGAACTCTCCCTCATTTTCTTAATAGCATTAAAAGTCTACAAAAAAAAAGAGCATCAGTTATTCTGAAGCTATGAAACATTATCAAAATTTAAAATAAGCATTTAATGTTTCTCACAAAAAACAAGAGTGATGTAGAAAATTGTACCTTTAATATCCACCTAATCATGTCTTTGTGGACTTCCAGGTAAGGAGCATTCTGCAGTGTTTCCAGCATTGCTAGTATGCTGGGGGAGTTGTTTGGTGCTTCACCAGGTTCTAGGGCAGAAAAAATAAAAGGCACAATAACAACAGCTAGGACTTTATAGCACATATTACTATGCACAAGATAAGTGAAGTTGCTTATAACATCATGAGCCTATCAGTTGATTTCAGCTCTACTTATTAGAGATTTTCAGTACTTAAGAATGTGACATATTTGTACTTTACAAATAAATTAACAACTAGAAAGCTTTAATCTTTCAAAACTGACATCTTATACCAAAATGATTATTTTAATTAATTGAAGTCCAGCTAAAAAGTCTTCCTGAGATTCTATAAGTCTAAGAAAATGAATTGGGATTACAGGGGTGCATTTGTGTTTAAATATACCAATTTGCTGTGACCTTTTCTTTAATAAAACCTAAATATAGCCCTGGCTGGTTTGGCTCAGTGGATAGAGCACTGGCCTGCGGACTCAAAGGTCCCAGGTTCGATTCTGATCAAGGGCATGTACCTTGGTTGCGGGCATGTACCTTGGTTGCGGGCATGTCTCCAGTGGGGAGTGTGCAGGAGGCAGCTGATCGATGTTTCTCTCTCATCGATGTTTCTAACTCTCTATCCCTTTCCCTTCCTCTCTGTAAAAAATCAATAAAATATATATTTTAAAAAAACGAAAGACAAGTCCACAATTTTAAAAAAAGGTTTTTATTGATTTAAGGGATCTGGGATTGAACCTGCAACTCAGGTACATGTTCTTGGTGGATAATTAAACCCATGACCCTTTGGTGGGCAGGCCAATGCTCTAATCACTGAACAACACCCATCAGGGCTCAAATCTATATTATTAAGAGTACATTTAATCCAATGTTAGCTAATTTAGTTTTATATTAAGAAATGCCCAATTACTGAGTTTTCTTACACATGTCCTTTTTATTTTTTAAAATCTTTATTACTGAAAGTAATACATATTTCTCCCTTTACTCCCCATTATAATACTGATTTTCTTGATTTAAGTGTTACCATTCTAGCAAACTGTTCCTCTTTCCTAAAAGAAGATATTGAACTATGTGATCTTTCATATTTTTCCAGACCTAAAATTCTGTGGCTAGAGATTAGGGATCTGGCTTTAAATAATGTGTTTTAATTATTTGAAATGTTTAGAGAGAAATATGAGGAATGTTCAGAGAAAATGATTGTTGAGAGGAAGAAAAGAGAGGAGGGCAGGGAGGGAGAACCTGAGATCGTCAAAAGATGAGTTAATGAAATTAGGAAGTTATCTATGTGGTTATTTTAAAGTAAAAGCACTGGTGATAAAGAAGACAAAAGGCAATGTTAATACATAGAAAGAAATACTGGCAGAGAACAGTAGGGAAAGGCTGGCACCTAAGACCACAGTTTTCAGTGAAAAGAGGCAGTTTCCTCTCTTCCTCCCACTTAACTGGATGAAGGCAAAGGGGGAAAATAGAGATCTATGAGCACACAGGACTATTCCTGCCCACCTCCCAGTAGAACCTGATATTCTCAGTCATTATCTTTTAGGAGGAAATGGCAGAGAACACATTAAACAAAGTTATAAATATAATCCCTTGCAATCAGGGAATTCATAGACTCCTATTTGACCAACTCAGCATTTAAACACCTCAGCAAATGGTTGATGGTGGTCTGGGGCAGAAAAAGTACAAGATGAGCCTGGGGCAGTCATCTTTTGTACCCAAAAGCAACGTGATATTAACGGGTTGGGTCAAAAGGACAAAGAAGCCAACTGAACAGACTCCCACTGTCCAAATTTGGCACAGTTTGAGGATCAAAAGGAATACTCATTATAACTGACTATAAAACACTGAATAAAGAACAACCCACAAGTAAGATGAAAACAAAGACAACCCTAAGCAAAAAGAGTCACAGTTAACACCCCTGCAGGTAATTATAAGACCAGCTGCTTATTCTGAAAATTATAAAGAAAAAGCTTCTCTTTAGAGGTAAAATGGTATGATGTCTGAAATAAATGGTTCAAAAAAGTGTGCAAATGTAAAAGCAAATATAGCAAATATACTGAATCCAGGTGGTAGGTATATGATTATTTACAACTCTTTCAATGTAAGTATGTTTGATATTTTGAATAAAAAGCTAAAAAAACCTCCTTGGCCTTTTAAAAAGTCACATTACTTTATATAAAATAATATAATCCTTTAAAACTAATTTTATTATCTTCAATATATTTTTATAAAATAACATCAACAATTTAGAGTGAAGTCTTGATATAGCATACTTTGTGTTTTAAAAAGTATATCTTAAGAGTTTAAGATGTGCCGAAACCGGTTTGGCTTAGTGGATAGAGCGTCGGCCTGCAGACTGAAGGGTCCCGGGTTCGATTCCGGTCAAGGGCATGTATCTGGGTTGCGGGCACTTCTCCAGTGGGGGATGTGCAGGAGGCAGCTGATCGATGTTTCTCTCTCATCAATGTTTCTAACTCTCTATCTCTCTCCCTTCCTCTCTGTAAAAAATCAATAAAATATATTTAAAAAAAAAAAAAAAAGAGTTTAAAATGTATGTGCTACACTCGATTTAATTTTCCTGTTTATGAATGAAAATTCATATATTTTAAGTATATATAGAGTCTAAATATTTTTATAAAAAATATATCAGGATCTGATTCAGTACCTTTACTACATAAATGAATATTATATATAGCCTCAAATATATATTCAAATTTGGATTTCCTATAAGATCAAATAAAAGGCTATCTTACATATTTAAAATCACTGCTATTTTGAGTTAGTTTAGTAAAAAGTGTATACATACTTGATATCTTCTGAGCAAAGGTAAATGTTACTACATGCTCCTCCATGACATTCTCCAAATGCTGTTTTTCTTCTTGTAGTGCCATTCCAATTAAATGTAACACCTCAAATAAATAGGTTTTGTAACTTTTAGTAAACAAAAGTGCATATTTTTATCAGAAATAACAAAAAAGAATTCAGTATTGAAAAAAAGAAAAATCAAACTATTAATGATTAAGTGCAATAAAAAACAATTCGAAGTATTAATTTTTATTAAATTCAAACTTTACGGTTCATTTTGTAATAAAGCAAGGGAACAATTTCTATTTTAGCTAAGAAGAAAATTCAATTGCAAATGCTTAGGGTAAGTTAAAATTATTTCCATATGTGACCAGCAACTCGAATAACATAATTTTTGGTTTTATTCTTTCCCTACAGTCTTAAAAAATCTTCTAAGAATCAATGGCCAAATGATTATAGCTGCAAACATCTACCATGTAATTATCTAGTCTACAATACTACTTAGTTTAATTTCTGTATCTAAAAATCTTAATCATCTCAGAAAGACACATACTTTTATCTCTAATATCATACAATTTATAAAGATATTCAGAGTTCTTCAGTATATCTCAAAAAATTAATTACCAGACTTCTAAGAAAACATGTTACTACACTGACTCTACCTGTATTTTTATTGCTCTTAGCGTGCTTTCCAATTTTTGAAGCAGATATGTGCGTGGTGTCTTTGCACCTGTCCTCAGACAGAGGGCTCTTGTGGTTGTCAGATGTGCTAGAACTTGGTTAGCCTGAACGACAGGCAGCAAACGCTATAGTAGGACCAGTCAACGAGAGACAGACTGGCCAACAGGACCAAGAGAATCACAACCATGTGGTCTAAAAAAACCTGTCAGGCTTGTATTTTACTGGCAGCCACAAAAGCAGTAACAATATATTTTAAATTAAGGTAACTAACACTAAATTTGTCCTAAATGTTCTGTGTACAGATACTGACAAAAGTATTTTGGCTTTTACTACAAAAGATATAAATAATAAATGTCATCAAACCTACCCTTTGCAACATGGACTCAGACCAGGCATATCCATTATGTTCTACAGCCCAGTGCAGTATTGTTCTTATGATGTACAACATGACATCTGACTGCAAAATGTTAACCAGGCTTGCAAACAGAGGGCAGAATGGAGGCAAAACTGGAGGTGGAAGTGCTGAAAATAAAGTTATTATTGGTTTCTTTTGTAGAACATGCTTAAAAAACTATTTCTTTATTAGATACTGTTGATAGTCTTCACTCAAAGAATTATTCATTAACATGCATCTTAGAGCTATATTTTACCTTAAGGATAGTCAAATGCCTAAAAACAGCTTCATAAATAGCAGTACAAAGGAAAGCCTTTCTTTTCTCTAGAAATTTCTTAAAACCTGAGATAAAACCATTAAGCAAGAGATGACTCAGTATAGGTGATTTCTATATTAATATATTTATTAGTCCTGTGAATGTTCACTAGGGAAGCTTATATTTAGATCTTCCACTTCACCAGGATAAACATCAGTGTCAACAGAAAACAATTTTAATAACTAAGAGACTGACATGAGATTTTTGGAAAAATTAAAAATACCTGTATCTTCCCTATTTTGTCTTTTTAATTTCCGTTGAGCTTCCTCTGCCTAATAAAAGAAAAGTAAGTTGGACAGGAAATTAGTAATACAAAACAGCCTAATATCTGAAACTACTGACATAATCTTTGTCATATTATCTTCTGACTTCAGAAGATTTTTATCTTTAGTTTTTCAATTCCCCCATTGATATATCAAGGTTAATCCCCCCACTCCCACAATGGGTTCTGTTTTGCTTTACAATGGAGGAGAAACATGTACAATCAAAAACTATTTAGGTTTGAACGCTATGACATGCATCAAAAACCAAACAAAAACTTCATGTTTAAGTTTTATTTAACGCCATTTCTTGAAAAAGTATTTTAAGAGTAGACTGCTAAAAGGCAAAATTTAACTAGCTAAGAATAATTAGGAAAATTCCTAACTCACTCTGGAAAGGCGCAATGCTAAGTTGTAGCAATTCTGAAATGTGTATAAAAGAAGCTGATTATAATACAGGTTGACAATTTGTCTTCAAAAGCCAATAAAATACAGTTATATGTGTGTGGGTATGTATATAATCATATAGATCTTATATGTCTATCACAAAACACTGGGGGGCGGGGAAGCCCAAAATGTTAGGTGGTGTTATAAATAACCTGTATTTTCTTGTTTGTATCTTTTTATATTTTCCAACTTTCCTACAATAAAAATGTATCCCTTTTTAATCTGTGAAAAGCACTAAATTTTGCTTAGACTGAAACAATAGGAAAACCCAACCCAACTCAACCCTTCCCCAGTACACTTTTAATTTTTCCAATTACCTTGGACTGCTCTGCCCTTGAAAAGTGATAGAAATATAAGTTGAACTCTTTGGCACATTCTGGTTTCAGTTCATACATGCCTCTTCCTGTTAATCCAGGTTTCCTAGGGGGGAAAAAAGGTCCTTAAAATATTATTACTAAAGTCATACTAATGACTAATTCATGAGATAGTCTTAGATAACAGAATAAAAAATCAGAACTATTGCCCTAGCTCAGTGGTCGGCAAACTCATTAGTCAACAGAGCCAAATATCAACAGTACAATGATTGAAATTTCTCTTGAGTGCCAATTTTATTTTTTAAATTATATTTTATTGATTTTTTTACAGAGAGGAAGGGAAAGAGATAGAGAGTCAGAAACATCGATGAGAGAGAAACATCGATCAGCTGCCTCCTGCACATCTCCTACTGGGGATGTGCCCGCAACCCAGGTACATGCCCTTGACCGGAATTGAACCTGGGACCCTTCAGTCCGCAGGCCGACGCTCTATCCACCGAGCCAAACCGGTTTCGGCCCGATTTTTTTAAACTTAAACTATGTAGGTAGGTACACTGTTATTAACTTAATTAGGGTACTCCTAAGGCTTAGGAAGAGCCACACTCAAGGGGCCAAAAAGCCGCATGTGGCTCGCGAGCCGCAGTTTGCCGACCACGGCCCTAGCCGGTTTGGCTCAGTGGTTGAGTGTCCAACTATGAACCAGGAGGTCCCAGGTTTGATCCCAGTCAAGAGCACATGCCCGGTTGCAGGCTCGACCCCCAGGAGGCAGCCAATCAATGATTCTCTTTTATCATTGATGTTTCTATCTATCTCTCTTCCTCTCCCTTCCTCTCTGAAATCAATAAAAATATATTAAAAAAACAACAACATAACAACAAAAACCAGAACTCTCATATATTGCTGGTGAGTGTAAGCTGGTACTCCTTACCTTTTTTAAAAATATATCTTTATTGATTTCAGAGAGGAAGGGAGAGGGAGAGAGAGAGAGAAACATCAATGATGAGAGAGAATCATTGATTGGCTGCCTCCTGCACGCCCCCTACTGGGGATCGAGCCTGCAACCCAGGCATGTGCCCTTGACCGGAATCGAACCCAGGACCCTTCAGTCCCCAGGCTGATGCTCTATCCACTGAGCCAAACCAGCTAGGGCTGGTACTCCTTTCTGTGGATGAAATTGGCAATCTACATTCCACGTTTTACATGCATCCATTTTATCTAGCACATCCACATTGAGTTTACCCTAACTGGACAAGTGAATCTGATGGTGGTGCAGTGGCAACAATTCAAAGTCTAACAGGGAATAGGTCACACACATAATGACATTTCCAAACAATAGAACACCATTAAAAATGATGTCAACTTCTATATTTTGACATGTAAAGATGTGTGCAATACCAAGTAGAAAAAAGTAGGTACAATTTTAGGATTTAAAGAATTATTTTCTATATATGTATTTTATATTTTTTCTTAAAGTGTGTCTTGTCTTCATAATTGACAAAAATAAAGACATTGCCATTGGGATGGGGAACCAGGAAAAAGGAGGATGAAGACACTGCCTCCACAACCTTAAGGGGATAAACTAGTTTACTGATTGGGCCACACACTGGACACTAGAGACGGCAGCACTCAGAGGCCATTCCACAGCTTAGGTGGCACATTCAAATGGGACAATGAAAGCAATTTTAAGGAAGCTTAATGCATTTATTTACATCACCTGCTCAGGTTAATTTTAATTATCTAAAGCTATGAACACCGATTCTGAATACAATGAAAATCTTCATAATGCTACTTTAAGTTGCTGAGCACAGGGCTAGATAATAAAAAGTCAGTGAGAAATATAGTTGTGAATTATGTATTTGGAAATGTTACTCTCTGAAGGCAACAATATCATTCTCAGTTCCATCAAATGAAGCACTCTAAAAAAAAATGAATGTATAAAAAAAAATGAATGAGAAAAAATATAAAGTAAACTCACTTGAAATGGGCAACTGCTTCAATGACACTCTCCATGCCAGTCTCCTTGTTCTCCTAACGGTATAGGAAACAAATTAAAAAGAAGTCATTACCATAGGGAATCAAGGTGACAGCTTTCAAAAGGAATTAAATGAAAACAAAGTACACACAATATTTAAATAAAATTTGTGTACAATACTGTAATGTTTTGTGAAGTAATTATACTAATTTCTTATCTATGTTCAGTAAAATAACATTTCCTAAATCATATCCCATTCATGGTAAGAAGTTACTAAGAATACTGTGAATAAAGAATTTTCTGGTGAAAAATGTTTGGTAAGAATAGTTACAAGGCATATTCACTTTTAAAATGCCATTTTAAATTTTATTACTCCTTATTCTAAAGTCTAACTGAAATTAATTGCTTTATCTAGTAACTCAGGATTCACTTCTTGCATTAAAAAGTACAACTAATTTTCTTTTTAAGATCAATAAAAAATTTTAAAAAAATATATCTTTATTGATTTCAGAGAGGAAGGGATAGATAGAAACATCAATGATGAGAGAATCATTGATTGGCTGCCTCCTGCACGCCCCCCACTGGGGATCAAGCCTGCAACCCGGGCATGTGCCCTTGACCGGAATCGAACCTGGGACCCTTCAGTCCGCAGGCTGACACTCTATCCACTGAGACAAACCAGCCAGGGCTCAATAAAATTTTTTATTGATTTTTAGAGAGAAGAAGGGAGAGTAAAAAACATAACATCAATTGCTGCATGCCCCCTACCAGGGATCAAGCCAGCAACCCGGTATCTACGTGCCCCGACCAGGAATAGAACTGGCAACCTTTCAGTGCATGAGCAATGCTCGACCAACTGAGCATCACTGGCCAGGGCTAAAGAACAATAAAATCTTATCTTACCTCGATATTTAGGGATATTAAAAAATTATAATTATTGTTGTTTTCTTTCCGGTGTGTTAATGACATATAGACAGATTTTCTTAAAAGCCCTTCTCTTTTAGATCAGTTTCTCAACATTGGTACTCTGACCTTTGGACCAGCTAATTCTTTGTTATGGTGTGTGTGTGTGTGTGTGTGTGTGTGCGCGTGCTCACACGTGTGCACGCACATATCCTGTATACTGTACAATGTTAAGCAGTATCCCTGGCCTATGCTCACTGGATGCCTGTAGCAACACACACCCTGCCTGAGTACCAAAGGTCCCCTTGGGGTCAAAATCGTCCCTGGTTAAAAACCACTGGTTTAGGTATGTACAGTTCTATTAATAGATGAAATGGTAAATCTCTACAAAATAATCCAGTGGGGTGTAGTGACGAGGGGTTGGGTAAAGATAAAACAAGACTGGCCATCTGTTGAAGCCAGTGATGGGTTCTTTGTGTTTTCTATTTCTACAGAGCTTCAGAAGTTTTCATAATGCGAAGTTTAAAGGAAGGATTACTATGCAACAGTACAGGTTTAAATCCTAGAAGAATGAAACTAGAGTTCAAAGTTTCTATCTATATTTAAAATTTGGGAAAACATTTTGAAAAGACTCAATGAAAATTAAGTCCTTTCCCAACTTTAAGTTTGGGGTTTCTAAAAAGCCCATGGCTGAAAAATAGGTGGCTTAGCACTTACGATCCTGGGAGGGAAATCATTATAATTAACCTATGAAAGCCCATGTGCATTACCATTTTACATTCACTGAAAAGAGAAATGGTTCACTAAGGAATCTTCAGAAGGAAAAGGTTCTGGAAACTGTTAGTTTACTCAACACAGCAGAGTAGGTTTTTCTTACTCCCTTCTTCAAAATACTCTACCCATGTCAACTTTGTACTAAAGATCCTATAATAACCTCCCTCTAATGGATATCATTTTTGTATAACATACAAAAATTCATTTCCAAGGACTAGATTTACTTTTATTCAGCTACTTACCTCTTTCAAAGCTTCACTGTAAAATATTCTATTCCTATGCTGCTTTCCACTCCCAGTCCCTAGTATTCTCTTTTTCTGATTATTTCTAGTAAGAGTGACTCGAGTTATACATTTCCTCGAATTGTGGAAAAGGTATATACAAGTAAATCTATAAATACTAAGACTGATAGGTAGGAAAAGACTGTTATAACTTTCTTTTTAAAAATGTAGGTACTTACATCTTCAGGTAAAGACTTTACCAATTCACTATGAGCCATAGGTTTGATGCACAACTGATGGATAATCTCTCGCTTAATTTCATCTGTAGCGTTTACCTGTCCAACTCCAGGACTAAATCTCTCTCCTGTTAACAATGAAAAAGTATACTCATACACACACATTTAACATAAATATAATACGTGTGTGACATATACTTATTCACACAACACAATGTATTTTTCTTTCTGTACAATGGAAAAGCCATGACTGGCCTAGCAACGAGCTAGGGGAGAGGAGCTCCCAATTGTACTTCTGAGTCTCAGGAACAACTGGGAGTGCAGGTTTTAGACAGTGGCGAGAACTTTGGTTGCAATTTTGAAAGAATAGAATCAGAAGGTAGGACGGGATTAGGTATAGTAAAGCCTTGGTACAGCAATAGTTGTACCAGTAGTCTAGGGAATGCTTTCATGCCACCTGCCACATGGTAGCAGGGAAGGAGTGCCGGAAGCCGGTCCATCCTTGCTGCTTGACACAGTCGCTGCAGGAAAGAAACATCTGCACAGCATATGTTTCAAGGGACCTGGCGTATATAGCATACTGTTCTTAATATGTTTGCTCCCCTTAGCGCTGTGTGTTTTAACCAAGGTCACCTCTCCGAGAAAGGTTGTTTCCCCAGGTAGGAATTTTTCCCTGAAGTCAGGGAGGGGATGCCTCTCCTAGAAAGGTTGTTTCCCCAGGTAGGAATTTTTCCCTGAAGTCAGGGAGGGGATGAAACTCCTTAACTAAGTGCCAGGTGGGCAGTTAATCACTACAAACAATCATGCTTAAGCTACATAATCTTTACTCCCTGGAATGGAGATAAGAAACGCCCTAACCTTTGTAATAGAAATTGACAGGATTAAAATCAACTGGGATAAATACGGATGTAACAAAACAATAAACAGCAGAACTTGGCTGGAGATCCAGACCAGAACTTGGCTGGAGATCCTGGCTAGAGATCCTGGCTAGGCTGCTGATCAACTGAACGTTGTCTCCGTGTCATTCCTTCTTCGCCGACTCCGTCTACACCTTTGGGGACCCCTGGACCTGCTGGGGTTGGACCCCGGCAAAGGAGAGCCTTCCTCTGAGTCCTGTCTAGTGGCAAATGAGATATCATCTTCTAATACCTCCTTCACTGGTATCTCCTCCTGACAGTTGCCAGGAGTCTCTGCGATATAGACTTTAGAGTCTGAAATACCAGGGGAGGTAGAAGAAGGTAAAGAATAAAAGAATAGCAAAGATGGAGGCAACAGGACTGAAAATATAGGCAATAAAATATCTGCATCGACTAGCTATAGGTCTCTGTTAACTCGGAACTGTTATGTCTGAAGTCAATATGTCACTTTTGCACCACAACCATGGAGGGAAATACAGCTAAGATATAAAGTAACAGTAAATGGCTCCTAACTATCCTATTCTTGCTAGCTAAATTCCCCTGCTCCTCCACTCCACAACACCAAGAGTCTTTCACTGTATTCTGCTTCAGCAGTTGCACTCTCTTCTTCCCGAAGCAACAGCGTTGTTACTCTCACCATTACAGTAATCAGAGGGGAGAAAAATCTCCTGCCCCTAAAACTGAGTAACCACTCAAACAAAAGAAACATGGTTTAGAAACTCTGAACTATATGCTACCACAATAGCCAATATCATTTACAAAGGTCTCAAAACAACTCAAACTTACCAACCAGCATTATAATGAGGTACAGCATTTCTTCTATTAGAGTATTGTTTTGCTGGACTACATCCTGTAACAAGTGGTGGGGGAATAAAGTTCAGAGATAAGAATAAAGATACTGTATTATTTCAATGATTAACATAAAAAAAAGAAAGCTGTTTCTTTAATGATGTGTTGTGGTCTCATGAAACATACTCTTACCTTATGGGTAATTTCAGAACTAAGTCTTTTTCCATAGTCTGGAGTACTGAAAATCTGATAAAGTTCAAAGCGACTGAGCATTATCATCAGGAAATGATTTGGATCCATCATGGAGACACCTGTCTTTTTTTTTTTTAGATGAAGAAAAAGAGGAAGGTCAAAAGCCCTATTAGTGAAAAATATTTTGGTTTGTACAAGAGAAAGCTGCTTACTTGTTCACCAATCCCAATAAAAGATAGAAACCCATTTAACCCCATTCCCTACTTGTGGTAGCTTTAAGTGTGGACAAGAACCTAAGCTAGTAAAACAAAACAAAATAAAACAAAACAAAACAAAACAAAACAAAACAAAACAAACCCCTAAATCCATACATCAGAATAATGTGGATTTTATGTTCTCTTTTCTCTTAATGCTTTGAATTAATTGTATCCCTCTGGATTCTATTCTAAAGTTTTATTTCAGGGTTCCCCCATGGCAAATTCAGGGAGTTTTAACATAGTTAAGTATCACAGTTCTTGGAAATCAATTTGAGGGGTTGGGTTTTTAGCCAGAGAAAAACGAAGAAAGGATAGCTTTCAGGTTACTTACTTTAACAATTATATGATAGTTGAACATTTCACCAAGGTAGAAAACCCAAGAGATGAAGAAGGTATGGAGGAAGTAAGAGTTATATTTTGAATATGTTCATGTTAAATCTGAAATGTGTCCAAAAATCTCGATGGAAATGTTCTATAGCCCATTAGTCATATAAGTTTGGAGTTTAGTAGATGGGGCTAGGCTAGAGTTATTAGATCTGGGAGTGATTATAAGTGTTTGGGTTCTATGGAATTAATAAGAAAAAAAATACTCCCCATACCTTTAAGTGTAATGTTTTTAATTCATTACCTGAAGCATTATTATATCCTTGTCAAACATTTCACGTCTGCATTTCACATTATGGTAGTAATAAATCTAAAATAAAAATTGATTATATTGGGTAAACAGGTTTTCATTTGTGCAGCTCCATCCTCTCCCCACATTCCGACAGAGCAAATGGGTGTTGGGCAGGTGTGCATGTGCACACAATGTGGTTTCTGCAACAATACTCTTAATAAAGATTAATGAATTAAAAATTTCCATATTAAACTGGTCACTTCATGGTTCACATTTTGGATCCAACTTTCTGAATTTCTCAACAAAGTTATTTCTATAAGGTTCATAGCTAAGAAAAATGGGGGGGGGGGGCAACCTATATCAATCCTTGGTGAGGTTTAAAAATTAAAACCTCAATTTTGGAGTTATACTAACAGAAATTTTATCTTTAAACCTAATTTAATTTAAGTAGATAAAATCTGAATTTTTATTTTTTTAAATATCTAATTTTGTCCTAAAAATGATTGCAAATAAAGAATCAAGAAAAGTGCACTCCTACCTTAATATTGTTTCTTGACAAAGTATAGATAAAAGTTTTAAAAACTTTTTTGGTTTAACATATTTATCTTCTCAAATAATTTTAATATAGGTACAACTTTTAATGACTAAGTACATTGAAAATTACATCCTTCACAGAAGCCAAGGAATGAATTGAAAAATCTCCATAGAATTAAGACACTTACCTGGTTTACCAGAGAGAACCCATTTCTTCTCCACATTCCTGCATGTACTTGGGCACATAAAACAAGACATCTAAGAGGGTGTTCTATCAACATGGGTGGGCTAAGTTCACTCTGTATATACAAAAACAAAAACACAAAGGTCTCAACGCTGAAGAATACTGTTTGATAGAGATTGAAGTTTTAAATAAAACACAACTTAAAATTCTTTCAAAGTATGTTTGTGTGATGGTTAATTTTATGTCAGCTTGGATAGGCCATGGTACCGTTTTTTAAGACCAGTCTAGATGTTTCTCTGAAGCTATTTTGTAGATGTGATTAATATTTAAGTCAGTAGTCTTTGAATAAAGCAGATTATTCTTCATAACAGGGGGTGGACCTCATCCAATTAGCTGAAGGTTTTAAGATAAGAGACTGCGGTCCCCCCAAACATGAAGAAATTCTGCTTCCAGATTGCCTTTGGGCCTCAGACTGCAATATCAAAGTTGGGAATCTGGCCTGGCCTGTCAAACTGCCCTGCAGCCATATTTCAGACTTGCCAGACCTCATAACTGCATGAGCCAATTCCTTACAATAAATCATTCTAAGTCTCTTCCTCTCTCCATACAGAAACACGTGGGCACGCATACACACACTCTCCTTTTTCTCTCTTTATTGATTCTGTTTCTCTGGAGAACCCTGACTAATAAACTTTGTTTCAAAATGATTTCAAATACATGAAGCATAATAAATAGGCATTTACTTTTAAAGTTAGTACTACTTACTAGAGGTAGGAGCTCTGGAAATTTATATGCCACTTCACTTTTGCTTAATAACACGTGCAAACCTACATGGAAGAACAAACAAAAATGTATTTTTATAAGTGAAACTCTTTAGGAGAAAAAAACCCCTAAATAATCACTTCCTTTAGATAACTTCTTTTCTCCCTGAGAACCTGTCAGGCTACAAATTATGATATAGAATGAATTACACTAATAAATAAAGCCTTATCTCATGAACCTCTGCATCAAAGGCACACTTGGAAGTCGCCTTAATTACATGCACCAACATACACTGATGACATTTTCTAAGTAAATGTTAGGCATAGAAACATAGCAAGAGCAGACATATAACTATCAAAGTAACTTATATATGTTTGCCAACGTTAACAGTCATATTTCACTTGGTAATGGAGTTTCTTCCCATTTAAAGTATTGTAGTGCAAGATCCTTCTAGAAACTGAACAGAGAAACTGGCCCTGGGATTCACTATATTGATGCTAACCTCAGAATTAAGTTCTACAGAACTTCCAGTTTAGGATCAAAGCTCTTTATTTCCTAAATGCAAAGGGCTCATTCATAGTCCAACCTTAGGTAATTCTGTTAACTAAGAATTAATTGTCCTGTTTATGTTGTATAAACAGAGAATGCTTTTTACAATTTTATTAATAAACTAGAGGCCCGATGCATGAAATTTGTGCAAGAGTCTTACCCCCCTCTCGTGCCCCCTCTCCTCCCCCCCGCCACCGCCGCAGCTGCCTCTGCCTAAGCCCCTGCGGCAGCCATGGGCCGCTGCTGCTCAGCCCCCGCCTATCATGGCTTTGTCTGGAAGGAAGGACACCCAGAAGGACATCTGGTCTAATTAGCATATTACGCTTTTATTATTATAGATATTGGCCACTTGGTCAAGCCTGGTTTGAGGCTTTCCTCATCAAAGAAGACTTGCATTATGAATCTCATTCTACTAACATATACAGTACTCTCAGCATTTGCCACTCAAGCTCCATTAGCACACACTCCAAGTTGTTCTTGAACTGTTTTGGGTATGCTTACTTAGCTCTCCAATTAGATTATAAGCATTCAGGCCAAGGCTTGTCAAACACAGTGAGACAGAATGCTCAAAAATGTTCAATGACAGCCCTGGTCAGTTTTGCTCAGTGGTTAGAGGGCCACGGGTTTAATTCCCAGTCAAGGGCACATACCTGTTTCAGGTTCCCCAGCACTGGTAGGGGCGTGTGCAGGAGGTAACCAATTGATGTATCTCTCTCACATCAATGTTTTTCTTTCTCGCCCCTGCTCCTCCTTCCCTTCCACTTTTTTTAGAAATCAATGAAAAAAAAAATCCTCAGATAAGGATAAAAAAAAAAAAGTTCACTGAGAGAGCTGAGGGAGGTTAATAAGGTAGGCAGAAAATGGTACATTTCAGAGTATTGACTATTTTCTCTGTGGATAACTATCAGCATCAGTTACCACTCATATAACCAGATTTTTAAAGGCAGAAAAATCAGCAGCTGAGTCTGAACTAGGACTCACTTTCCCGCATTCCAGTTGAATACTTTTTCACAACACTATGGTGATACTTGCCCATGTTGAGAATCAAGTTCAGTATGCTCAAAGCACTTTCAAAAAACAAAACCAGGCCTGAATAAGTTACAGGAATTAAGAGATTTCTTCTTACATTCTCAACTTCAGTCTAGGTACTTATTTGTTGTACTACTGATATGTCTAAGTTATCTTATATCACTATGATTGCAATAACAATCCAAAAGCCTTCAGAAATGAAAGAGGAATCGGATTATTACTATCGATCCCATGGACATTGAAAGAATAAAAAGGAGTACTATGAACAACTCTATGCCCACAAGTTTGATACTTCAGATGAAAAGGATCAATTGCTTGAAAAATAAAAACTACCAAACTCACACAAGCAGAAATGGATAACCAGAACCAGCCTATATCTATTAAAGAAATTGCTTCAATAATTAAAAACCTTCCAAAAAGGGAAGTATCACATCCATATGGTTTCACTGGTGAATTTTACCATGTATTTAAAGAAGCCCTAGCTGGTTTGGCTCAGTGGATAGAGTATTGGCCTGTGGACTGAAAGGTCCCGGGTTCTATTCCAGTCAAGGGCACATGCCCAGGTTGCAGGCTTGATCCCCAGTAGGGGGCATGCAGGAGGCAGCCAATCAATGATTCTCTCTCATCATTGATGTTTTGATTTCTCCCTCTCCTTTCCTCTCTGAAATAAAGAAAGGAAGGAAGAAAGAAAGAATACCAATTCGCCACAATCTTTTATACACACAACCACTTTCACATCATATTATTACTATTACTGAGCTAGCTACACACTTAAGATAAATCACAAATTCTGCAATGAGTAAAAATAGCTAGCTTCAGATCTTCTCTTTTCTAATCTGGAACTAAAGGAAATAATAAATACTATGTGAGTAGGACAAGCATTCCTGCAATTGAGAAATATGAAAGGAAGTATACTGAAATGAGTCTGCAGAGATGGACAAGTACGTTTCAAAGTTTTTGGCTGCTGCAAGGTGGCAGCTTCAAATATTCTACCAAGAATAAATGGCTGTAAATCAACTATTTACAATGAAAAAAACCAGCACCCCAACTTGGGGCTCACTCTTGACCTGTTGCTTAAAAAAGTTATCAATAAATGATTAAGAAACAGCTTATATGAGATAAAATCTAGGGTGGTTTCAATTTGTCAGTAATCACTTAAGCAAACTTAATTATAATATCTACCTCATGGACTGATGTGATGATTAAATAAGTTGACACACATAAAACTCTCAGACTAATGTGAGGTAGATATTCAATAAACATTAACCACACAAAAAAATTTAAAATATATTTTCAGGGTTTTCATGGGGGAGAAATGCTTTACCTGCAAGTAAGCGAGAAATGGGGAGGTGAATGCTAACTTTTTCTTGAGAAACACAGTATCTGATAGTTTCCACTGAATGTCCACAAATGCTTAATGTGACTGGCTGTTCACCATCAGTAAAACCACCATGACACTGCATCAATACAGCAAGGCATTTCTTGTAAGCTTCAATTAACACTTTTTCCTTAAAAAAAAAAAAAAAGGGTATTTTGTAAGTTACTCCAAAGTTAAGTTTTTATAACACTGAATAAGCACATCAAATTCAACAATGAGTAAGTACCTCAAATATTAATACAGGCAAAATCAAGCCCAATCATCCCTTCCCAACCTGGTCCCTCTTCCAGTGCCCTGTCTCAGTGAATGACATCTCTGTACAGCTGTGGAAATCTAGAAGTTATTCCAATACTCTACTTTCCCTCATTCTCAATTGTCCAATCTATCACCAAGCTATCAATTTCATCTTCTAAATTTCTCTCAAACCTGGCCACTGATTATCTCCAGTAACTCAAAGGAAAGCCAACTCTATTATAAATTCACTATTATAAATTCCCTACTTCTACTCTTGCTACCCTCCATCCACTCTCCATATAAACAATTTTTTAAAATGTATAAATTAGACCATGTCACCTTTCTCCTTGGTAGTCTCTAATGGGTCCCCACTTCAATTAGAATAAAATCCAAACTTCCTTCCATGGCCTCCAAGGCCCTGAAAAATTTACTTAAAAATCTGTCCACTTCTCTACCTTTAACCTCTACGCTCCAACCAGAGACTTCTCACAGCTCCCCTAACAATTACATTCCTCCGAACAGAGCATGATTCAACTGTCCCTCAGTCAGGAATATTCTTTACTGTTTGATCAGTTAACTCTGACACATAGCTCAGATCTAATGGAAGCCTCTATGACCTCCCAACTTAAACAAGCTCTCATCTAGACTTTATAATCAAAACAAGAACAAAATAGTTTTAAGATAGGACAAATGTACCAATAGTAAAACTTTATTTTTTGATAAATTTAGAAATTATTCTATTTATATGCTCAAAATCTAGATGGGATAATGGAAGAAACAAAGACAGTAACATAAGAGAAAGACAGTATGGATTATTTCCTCCTCTATATATTTTCCAAGTTTTTTTAAAAGACTGTAAAATTTTAACTTTTACTGAATTAATAGGTGGAAGAGGAAAATATGCTGTTTTATGAGCTAAGTATCACCACTATCCTCCCCAAAGTTCCTCAAAATTTACTTAAAAATCTATTTATTCCCCCCTCCACCATCTTTCTCTTATCTCCTACAGCTAGAAGAAACTCACATCTAAAGCACACCAGTCCTGCATCATTGAAATAACATGTGTTAATTTCATTTGCAATGTGAAGGCTGCTTCCCATTCTGGTTCCATTTCAATATGCTGTCCTACTTGACGTGTAACTGGATCCATTCCCTTAAAGAAAGTGAAAAGATTTTAAATGAATTAAAATTATATTTGTTCTCTTACATGGAAACTTAAAAATGATGTAGAGGAAATATATACTGATTACAAAAACATATAAAGTAAAAGGCTAAATAAGAAGTTTCAAGTAGTATGAGAAAGTTCAACTTCGTAAATTATATGTTTATTTAACATTCTCTAGAATATAAATTAAAAATCCCAGTAAAGTACATAGCAAATTATTTTAGAGGCAATCTTCTATATGTTTTAAACAATAAAAAGAATACTTTACTGCAACAATCCTTCAAATTCTGTTTTAGGTCTGTTATCTATAGGAAAATTATTAGAAGAAATCTGATAAAATGTTACTGAATTTATAAATGTATTTTATTCAAAATGACCAAAATAGATATTGTTTCTATAGATACCCCAAACACCACAAAACATAGAAGTCTTATTATAAATTTAAACACCAGAGAAAAATTTTAAATAAACAATCTAACCCTACACCTAAAAGAACTAGATAAACAACAAGAAAAGCCCAGAGTAAGCAGAAGAAAGGAAATTACAAAGAACAGAGCAAAAATAAATGACATAGAGACTGTAAGAAAATACTATGAATAACTATATACCACAAATTGAACAACCTGGGCAAAACAGACAAATTCTTAGGAAGATTAAATCTTCCAAAACTGAATTAGGAAGAATAAAAAAAAACCAGAACAGACCAATAACAACTAATGATATTGAAGTAGTAATTAAAAAAAACACCAGCAAAAAATTTTGGACCAGATGGCTTCACAGGCAAATTTTACCAAATATTCAAAGGAAATCTAACACCTATCCTCCTCAAATTATTCCAAAAACTTCAAGAGGAGGGAAGACTTTCAAGCTCTTTTTATGAGGACAGCATTATTCTAATTAAAAAACAACACAACAAAACAAAAAAAACAGATAAAGACAAAGAGAGAATCTTAAAAGCAGCAAGAGAAAAACAGTCAGTTACCTACAAGGGAGTACTCATACGACTGTCAGTTGATTTCTCAACAGAAACTATGCAGGCCAGAAAGGAGTGGCAAGAAATATTAAAAGTGATGAATAGCAAGAACCTACAACCAAGATTACTTTATCCAGCAAAGCTATCATTCAGAATTGAAGGTCAGATAAAGAGCTTCACTGATAAGAAAAAGCTACAGGAGTTCATCACCACCAAACCAGTATTATATGAAATGCTGAAAGGTATTCTTTAAGAAGAAGAAGAAGAGGAAGAAGAAAAAGGTAAAGATAAAAATTATGAACAGCAAATACATATCTATCAACAAGTGAATCTAAAAATCAAGTGAATAAAAAATCTGATGAACAGAGTACACTGGTGAATATAATAGAACAGGGGCATAGAAAAGGAGTGGACTGACAATTTTTGGCGGGAAAGGGGTGCGGGGGGTGCAGGAAGAGACTGGACAAAAATCGTACACCTATGGGTGAGGACAGTGGGAGGGGTAAGGGCAGAGGGTGGGGTGGGAACTGGGTGGAGGAGAGCTATGGGGGGAAAAAAGAGGAACAACTGTAATAATCTGAACAATAAAGATTTAATTTAAAAATATATTCTATTGATTTTTTACAGAGAGGAAGGGAGAGGGATAGAGAGTTAGAAACATCAATGAGAGAGAAACATCGATCAACTGCCTCCTGTACACCCCCTACTGGGGATGTGCCCGCAACCAAGGTACATGCCCTTGACCAGAATCGAACCTGGGACCTTTCAGTCTACAGGCCGACGCTCTATCCACTAAGCCAAACCGGTTAGGGCTGAGTGGGGCATTTTTATACACCAATAAAGATCAGAAAGAGAAACTAAGAAAACAATCCCAATTATTATTGTAACAAGAAAATAAAGTACCTAGGAATAAATTTAACAAAAGAGATAAAAGACCTGTACTCATAAAATGATAGGATATTGAAAAAAGAAATAGAGGAAGACACAAACAAATGGAAGCATATACTGTGTTCATGGATTGGAAGAATTAACATCATTAAAGTGTCCATACTACCCAAAGCAATGTATACATTCTGTGCAATTCCCATGAAAGTACCAATAGCGTTATTTCACAGATTTAGAACAAATATTCCAAAAATTTATATGGAACCCAAAAAGACCCTGAATAGCCTTAGCAATCTTTTGAGAAAAAAGAACAAAGTTGGAGGGAACACAATACCAGGTATCAAACTCTAGTACAAAGTCACTATAATCAAAACAGCCTGGTACTGGCACAAAAACAGGTGTTACAGATCAATGGAACAGAACAGAGCCCAGAAATCAACCCATGCCTTTATGGCCAATTAATATTTGACAAAGGAGGCAAGAGCATACAATGGAGTCAAGATAGTATCCTTATTTATTTTTACTAAAAAAATTTTTTTTTACATATTTTTATTGATTTCAGAGAGGAAGGGAAAGGGAAAGAGAGATAGAAACATCAATGATGAGAGAATCATTGATCGGCTGCCTTCTGCGCGCCCCACACTGGGGACTGAGCCCACAACCAAGGCATGTGCCTTTGTCCAGAATCAAACCCGGGACCCTTCAGTCTGCAGGTTGACGCTTTATCCACTGAACCAAACCGGTTAGGGCAAGACAGTCTCTTTAATAACTGGTGTTGGAAATATTGGACAGATAGATGCAAAAAAAAAAGGAAAGAAAGAAAAGAAAAGAAACTAGACCACCAACTTAACATCATACACAAGAATAAACTCAAAATGGAAAAAAGACTTAAATGTAAGTCGCAAAACCATAAAAATCCTAGAAGAAAAGAGGCAGTAAAATCTCAGACATCCCTTATAGCAATATTTTTGACAATATATCTCCTAGGACAAGGGAAATAAAGGAAAAATAAACAAATGGGACTATATCAAACTAAAAAGCTTCGGCACAGCAAAAGAAAACATCAAAATGAAAAGAGAACCCACTGTATGGAAGAAAATATCTGCCAATGGTATATCTGGTAAGGGGTTAATTTCTGAAATATATAAAGAACTTATACAACGCAACACCAGAAAGATAAACAACCCAATTAAAAAATAGGCAAAGGATCTGAATAGACGCTTCTCCAAAGAGGACATACGGGTTGACCAAGAGACATATAAAAAAATGCTCAAGGTCACTAATCATCAGAGAGATGCAAATTAAGACCACAATGAGATATCACCTCACACCTGTCAGAATGGCTACCATCAATAAACCAACAAACAACAAGTGCTGGCAAGGACGAGGAGAAAGGGAACCCTAGTGCACTGTTGGTGGGAAGGCAGACTGGTGTAGCCACTGTGAAAAACAGAATGCAGGTTCCTCAAAAAATTAAAAATGGAACTGCCTTTTGACCCAGTGATCCCACTTCTGTGACTATATCCTAAGAATCTCAAAACACCAATCACTAAGAATATATGCATCCCTATGCTTATAGCAGCATTATTTACAATAGCTACGAGCTGGAAACAGCCCAACTTCTTGTCAGTACCAGTAACTGAGTGGATAAAAAAGCTGTAGTTGCCCTGGCCGATGTAGTTCAGTTGGTTGGTTGAGCGTCATACATGCACTGAAAGATTGCTGGTTCAATTCTTGGTCGTGACACATGCCCAGGTTGCGGGCTCAAACCCTAGTAGGGAGCATGCAGGAGGCAGCTGATTGATGTTTCTCTCTCTCCTTCTCTCTTTCTATCCCTCTCTCCCTCCCTCCATCTCTCTAAGCATGTACTTAGGTAAGGATTAAAAACAAACAAACAAAACAAAAATATTTTAAAACAAAGTTATGGTACATTTACAAAATGGAATACTATGTGGCTATGAAAAAGAAACAATTCTTACCCTTTGCAACAGCATGGATGGACCTGGAGATTATTATGCTAAGTGAAATAAGTTAGTCAGAGAAAGACAAATACCATATGATCTCACTTACATCTGGAATCTAATGAGCAAAATAAACTTCTGAACAAAACAGAACCAAAGGCATGGAGCACTGAAACAGACTGAGGGATGTCAGAGGGAAGGGTGGTGGGAGGGACTGGGTAAAAGAAAGCAAAGATGCCCGGCAGGTGTGGCTCAGTGGTTGAGTGTCAACCTATGAACCAGGAGGTCACAGTTTGATTCCCAGTCAGGGCACCTGCCCCAGGTGCGGGCTCCATCACCAGTGTGGGGCGTGCAGGAGGCAGCTGATCAGTGATTTTCCCTCATTACTGATGTTTCTCTCTCTCTCCCCCTCTCCCTTCCTCTCTGAAATTAATAAAAATACATTTTTTAAAAACGTGATGGGATTAGCCAAAGAACATATATGTATAACCTACGATCACAGACAATAGTGTGATGAAGGCAAGGGGAGGAGAAGGGTCAGGGGTTGGAGGAGATGGACAAAGAGGAGGAAAATGGAGGATTATCTGTAATAGTGTGAACAATAACAAAAAATTAAACATCCAGAAATCACTACCCAACATGGAACTCGAGTATTTTCTTTTTTAAATGTATTTTATTGATTTTTTTTACAGAGAGGAAGGGAGAGGGATAGAGAGCTAGAAACATCGATGAGAGAGGAACATCGATCAGCTGCCTCCTGCACACACCCTACTGGGGATGTGCCCGCAACCAAGATACATGCCCTTGACCAGAATCGAACCTGGGACCCTTGAGTCCACAGGCTGACGCTCTATCCACTGAGCCAAACTGGTCAGGGCTCAAGTATTTTCTAAAAACAGTAGGTCACCTCTGTGTATTCCTTTCTTAAGAAAAGCCAGACAGTTACTAAAAGAATCATGACAACACTGCTTAAATTTATTGAGATGTTATCCATCTTCTCGAAGTTAAAACTAGTTATATATGCCAGTTTGTTTCTGCTTCTAGATTCTATTTTGTATATGAGGTGTTTCCAAAGGAGATCATTAAACAGAGGGGGAAGAGTTATATACTATATTATATAAATATCTAAAGGAAAAAGAAATATGGGAACATTAAAAAAATCCAAACATTATGCTGGGGTCCAACCCCAGCAGGTCCAGGGGTTCCCAAAGGCGTAGACGGAGTCGGCGAAGAAGGAATGACACGGAGACAGCGTTCAGTTGATTAGCAGCCTAGCCAGGATCTCCAGCCAGGATCTCCAGCCAAGTTCTGGTCTGGATCTCCAGAGAGGTTCTGGTTAGGATCTCCAGCCAGGTTCTGTGTCCATGTTCTCTTGCTAGGTTCTCCAGCCAGGTTCTCCAGTTTCTCCAGCCAGGTTCTGTAGCCATGTTCCCACACTAGGTTTTCCAGCTAGGTTCTGTCCAGGTTCTCCAGCCAGGTTCAGTCACCAGGTTCTAGTCAGGTTCTCTTGCCATGTTCTATCCAGGTTCTGTAGCCAGGTTCTGTCTCTAGGTTCTTCAGCCAGGTTCTCTCGCTAGGTTCTGTGGCCAGTTTCTGTCCAGGATCTTTTGCCATGTTCTCTCGCTAGGTTCTGTCTCTAGGTTCTGTCTCCAGCTTCTGTCCAGGCTCTTTTGCCATGTTCTCTCCAGCGAAGTTCTTCTGTCTCTAGGTTCTGTGTAGGTTCTGTGTAGGTTCTGTCTTCTAAGTTCTGTCTTCTAAGTTCTGTCTTCTAAGTTCTGTCTTCTTAGTTCTGTGTCTTGCTGTCTTGTTACATCTGTATTTATACCAGTTGATTCAATCCTATCAATCTCTATTCCAAAGGTTAGGGCGTTTCTTATCTCCATTCCAGGGAGTAAAGATTATGTAGCTTAAGCATGATTGTTTGTAGTTAAAGTGATTAACTACCTGCCTGGCACTTAGTTAAGGAGTTTCATCCCCTCCCTAACTTCAGGGAAAAATCCCTACCTGGGGAAACAACCTTTCTCGGAGAGGTGACCTTGGTTAAAACACACAGCGCTAAGGGGAGCAAACATATTAAGAACAGTATGCTATATAGGTCCCTTGAAACATATGCTGTGCAGATGTTTCTATCCTGCAGCGACTGTGTCAAGCAGCAAGGATGGACCGGCTTCTGGCAACATTATAGTTTCTTAAATAACTGACAACATTTCCATATAAGCATATTAAAAAAACTTGCAACCTCCAAAGAAAGAATGTTAATGGTGACCAAAAGAAATACCTAATACAAAAGAACATGAGAGACCTGGTTGGATGGCTCAGCTGGTTGGAGCATCATCCCATGCACCAGGAAGTTGCGAGTTCGATTCCCAGTCAGCGCACATACCTAGGTTGGGGGTTCAATCCCTGGTTGGGGCGTGTAGGGGAAGCAGCTGATTGATGTTTCTCTCTCACATCAATGTTATCGATGTTTCTCTTTCTCTCAAAACAAACAAACTAACAAACAAACACAATAAACCTGTACTGGGGTAAGTATTAAAAAAGAAAAAAAAAGAAAAGAAACAGCAGATACCAGAACCTTTGCTAGGATTTCATTCATTCTACACCTTTCCAAGAGTAGTCAATTAAAGAGGCACTTCTTGGTCCAAATTGCAGCCATACAAATCATTCTTTTGGAGATGTGCCCAAAAAGGAAATAAAAGCATACACAGAAAGGTGTTCACTTCAATGAACAACAACAAAACAAAACAAAACAAAAAAAAACACACAAAAAAGGAAGAAAGAAAAGAAAAAGGAGAGTGTTTCCTTTTAAAATGTATCAGTTTATACACACCTGCATACATTTGAGTAATTCCAAAAAGGCATCAAATCCTTCTAGGAACTTCTGCCTGAGATCATCTGACCATTCAGTTGGTTTGCTAATCAACACATACCTAAAAAAGAGAAAAATATCAATGAATATATAGATAAACGCTGACATTTTACAAGTTGCAACTGGTTTGATAATTAAACAAAAACTTACTTGAGGTCTAAAATAAGGCTCTGAACTCTTCTAAATTTGAAGGCTTGTAAAGCAGTATATCGTTCAAACTGAAATCTACCCTGGGCATCTCGATGTCTCAAATGATCCATAAAAGTCTTAATGATAATGGTCAGTAGGTTTTCTTCTGTGATAAGCATCCGAGCCTAGAAGGAAGTGTAACAGAGCACATGGTAATCAAAACCTATTTACTAGGAATCTAAGAAAAAGTCACCAACATTGGTTAGAATTTCAGTTTAAAGCTTTTCAACACAACTAAAGTATAATAAAATAAATAAAGCATTACTGTGTATTTCTAAATAACAATTACTTACTCCAATTGGCACTTGTATGAAGCAACAATTATATCACGGAGAAAGAAGCCAGAATGTTAGGAGACACATCCAAGGCTCGTTATTCAAAGACAATTCAGGGTGGGGGGTCTGAACCAGGCTGCAAATTTTCCTTAACTGAGATATTTAGACACCTATAATGGTATGGTATAATTACGCTAGAATCCAGAGGTTTATTATCAAAGATTCTGTAGAACTTAGTATATATATATATATATATATGCCTAAGCGACTGTTACGACTGAAATATCAGAACACCTGGTCGCTATGATGCACACTGGCCACCAGGGGGCAAATACTCAATGTAGGAGCTGCTCCCTGGTTGTCAGTGTGCTCCCACAGCCAACCTCCCCCACCGGCCAACCTCCTGCAGTCCCTGCCCCTAGCCAGCAGGCCCTGATCACCTGATCAGGGCCGGGCCCCAGACTGAGACGGTGAATCAGGGGTGGGTGGCAGCAGACACGAGCCCTTTCCCAGGGGGGTCAGTGGCCAACCTCCTGTGCCCTGTCCTTGCCCCTGGTTGGCAGGCCCTGATCGGCCCACTGCCTGCCCACTGCAGTAGCGGTGTGGTGGAGAGGGAAGGAGGAGGGGGGAGGCGGGGCACCGCGTGGTGGCGGGGCACCGACAATGATGGCATCAGTGTCTGGTGTCTGTTCCTTCCTTGCCCAGTCCGACGACTGCTGCCTCCTCTCCTGACCCCGCCAGGGCCTTAGGCCCCGATTGGCCCTGATTGCCGGCCAGGCCTAGGAACCCCACCTGTGTACGAATTTCAGAGAGAAGGTATACTGGCTAGGGACCTCAGAATCCAAGGAATGACATGGTAGAGTTCTTTGTTTTCACTTCAAATATCCCAGAGCTGAAGAAGCTGACAATCTGCAAATACTAATGGGAACAGACTTAAAAAATTTCTTTTTAAAAACGCCCTGATAAAAGCCTGCTCTCTCTAGCCACAGGAAAGGAAAACTTAACAAAACTTTCAAATAATAACCCTTCCACTCTAGTCAATCACCACAGAAATAAATTGAGGCTCTATTCCCATTGACACCCGCAAAAGCTGAGTGAAGAATATAGACTTCTACTTTTAAGAGGTAGAAATGTGGTGCTTGACTACAATTAGGATGCATGTCATAACCTCCAGGGCAATGCTACTCAAAATATGGTCCACAGACCAGCAACCCCAAAACTGCTTGCGCCAGTTGTGATGAGAAGATGGCAACAAGATAAAATCAACTACTTATAACTGTTCAGTTGACATTACTTTTCATAGCAAGATTTTTCCAAAAAAAATATTTTAAGGAGAGAAAGAAAGACAGCAAGAGAGGGGAGGAGGGATATATTGATTGGTTGCCTCCTGCATGCATTCCAGTTTTCTGGGGATCTAACCTGAAACCCAGGTATGTGCCCTTGATCTGGAATTGAACCTGAGACCCTTTGGTCTTCGGGCTGACCAGTGAGCAATACCGGCTAGGGCCATAGCAAGATTTCTGCTGAAAGCAGTAATGTGTGTTTCACGTTCTGGTACAAATTGTTTATCTTTTCATAACTGACACTTTGAATAAAACTGCTCTAGAGAGACCCTTAAAAATATTAAATGAATGTACAAGTAACAAATTAATAAAAGGAAAAATAAAAAATAAATATTTAATACAAAAGAAGGTAAAAAAGGAGAGAAAAAGAAACAAGATAGGTGGGTTAAACAAAAAAACAATCATAAGGTGGTAAATATAAATCCGAATATATGGGTAATTATATTAAGTGTGCAGAAAACTAAAATATTAAGAGTGTCAGATTAGATAAACAACAAAACCCAAATACATGCTTTTTATAAGCAATTCAACTTAAATATAAGGGTACAGAAATGTAAGAAATATAACAATGGAAAATATACACTATGCAAACACTACCCAAAAGAAACCAGTTGATGCTATAATATCAGATACATTAGACTTCAAGGCCAGAACTATGGTTTGAGATGAAAAGATATAATCTATCTATATATATAAAAGGCTAATATGCAAAGTGTCCCCTCAGGAGTTCGATCACTCACTATGATGTGTGCTGACCACCAGAGGGCGGTGCAGAATGAAGGCCACAGCTGGCAGCTGGCAGCCGGCAGCCAGCAGCCGGGGAAGGGAGGCCCTGATTGCCGGCCAGGCCTAAGTACCCTAACTGTGCACGAATTTCATACACCGGGCCTCTAGTTCATACATAAAAGGCTCAATTTGGAAAGTATAATTCCAAATTTGTATATATTCAATCAATCACACTGCTTTAAGATATACAAAGCAAAAAGAAGTAAAAGGAGAGAAATGAACAATCATTGTGGGAGATTATTAACATGCTTTGATAGTTCACAGAACAAGTAGATAAAAAAAGTGAGTATATAAAAGACTTACACAATGAAAATGAACAAACTTGACCTAAGTGACATATATAAATACTATGCCCAATAATAAGAGAATATTCTTTGCTTTCAAGTCCACATTGAATATTTACCAAAGCTGACAACATTCTGGGCCATAAAGTCAAGTCTCAACAAATTCCAAAGGACAAGAATCAGAGTATGTTCTCTAACCACAGTGAAATTAAGTTAGAAATTCATAAGAAAATTATTAGAAAATGCCCAAATGTTTCAAAATTTAGCAATATACTTCTAAAAAGAATAATCACAAAGAAGAAAAAAATAGGTTAAAGAAGAAATCACAAAGGAACTTGGTTTTATGAACTAAGTAATAAAAATATGACATAAGATTGTGGAATGCAGCTCAAAACATTGTTTAGATGGAAACTTAAGCCCTAAGAGCTTATCAGAAAAGAAAGGATGAGTCAATAATTTAAATATCTTAAGAAATAACAAAAAGCATGTTAGTCACCCTGAAAAGCAAAATGTTTTCACATTCCTGATCTCAGGGGAAAGCTTTTAATATTTCACCATTACACAAAATGTTTGCTTTGGATTTTTACTTTTTGTTTTGGCTTTAGATCCTTTATCAGATTAAAGATTTTCCCTTTCATTCCTAGTTTGCTATGAGGTATTTTTATTTGTCTTAATTCATGAATAAGTGTTTAATTTTCATGAATTCAGGAAAAGCATTTGATATTTTTTCCCTCCTTTTTGTTTGTTAAATAAGGTGAATTATTTCAATTGATTTTTTTCAAATGTTATACACTACTTCTGGTTGTGATGTATCATCTTTTGAAAAAAATGTTACTTGATTCAATTTGTGTGACCTCATTTGTGGTAATTTTCTTTTCTTATAATTGCCTTGTTGGGTTTTGGTATAAAGATTACAGAGGACTCAATAAAATTGGCAAGTACATTCTCTTTCTCTGTTTTCAGAAAAACTTATGTAAGACAGATGTTATTTCTTTCTTAAATATTTAGAAGAATTCCCCAGTGCAGCCATTTTAGCCTAGGAATTTCTTTATGAGATTTTTATATTAATTAAAATTTTCAATTTGTTTTTTTTCATAACTTGTGTTTTTGCTTGGGAATTTCATCTCATTTCATCTAAATTTCTAATTTTATTAAGTTGGTCCTCATTTTATTTTCTACTAGAGGCCCAGTGCACAAAATTCATGCACGGCGGGGGGGGGGGGGATCCCCTCAGCCTGGCCTGCACACTTTCCAATCTGGGACCCCTCGGGGGATGTCCAACTGCCTCTTGCAATCTGAGGCCACTGGCTCCTAACCATTCGCCTGCCGGCCTGATCGCCCCTAATTGCTCCCCTACCGGCCTGATCGCCCCTAACCCAGGATTCCCTCCTCTGGCTGGTCGTAGGCATCCAGGACCTGGGCCAGCTTCACCCGGCCGCAGCCGCAGGTGCCCAGGACTGCGGGGCAGGCAGCCTGTCCCTCTCCCAGGCCAGGAGCAGGTGTAGCCACTGGTGCCCGGGACCGCGGGGCAGGTGGCTTGTCCCCTCCCGGGCCACAGCCTGGCTGGTCCCCATTCCTCTCTCCCGAGCTCATTTGTGCCTGGCTGGTGCCCATTCCTCTCTTGTGAGCTCATTTTGTGCCTGGCTAGTTCCCATTCCTCTTTCCCCAGTGTTGAGTGTCTGAGCCATTATGGCGTGAAGGTGTGAGAACCATTTGCATATTAGCTCTTTATTATATAGGATTCAATATCTGTAAGATCTAGTTTTGTTTAAATTTAAAATTTTCTGTTTTTCTTATTAGTCTTAATAGAGATCTAGCCCTCTTTTCTGGTCTTTTCAAAGTACCAACTTTTGTTGTTTTGATTTTTCTCTTTTGAACATTTACTTTGTTTTATTAATTTCTGCTCATTACTTCCCCTTTCCTACTTTCTTTCTTCTTCTTTTTTGTCATCATTGATTCTATTGCCTTATCTTAATAAGGGGTAGGGACTTCTCAAAATGTAAGATTATATACATACGCTGTCTGTTTCTAATGGATAAATTTGCTAGACTAATCAGCTTAATTTTAACTCCTCAGTTCAAAACCTCAGGGAAGTACTATGAGATAGTACAAATTAAGGTAAATTACTTTTTCTCTCCAGATTACATATTTGAGGATATGTTCTAGTATGGTTGAAGGTATCTGAAGTCTCATCACCCACTAATAAAATATTATTCTACTCAGCAACATACAAATCTTAGTTCTCTATTATTTTAAGGCTTTACTTTTAGTAATGAAAAACAAAAAAATTCTTCTTCGTCTTTCAGTACTTACAAGTGAAGGAACTGTGAATATCTGAACCGAGAGGTCTGCGACTGAAAACTCTCTGTCGTGGTCATCTGTCACATAATCACTCTGCAAACGCTCATAGTTCTATTAAGAAGGCAAAAAAAGGCAAGGAGTGCCAGCTATCAGTTACAAAGAAAAGGCAAGCACTACTCACCAGAGTAGGTGCGGTGAAGAACTGGACAGACAGAGCAGTCACGGACACTGCTCGCTCGTGATCATCCTCCATAAAATCTCTCTGCATCTGCTGGTAATTCTAAACAACAAGGGGAAGATTCACCTCTAATCCACATTGACCAAATGGTTAAGGATAATAATGAAAATTCAGTGCTGGAGGTGTCAATGAGATAACACTCACTGACTCGTAAGAATGATAACTGGAATAATTTCTACTAAATAAAGTGTGTATAAATATTGACTCACTGGACAATCCGTTCAAACACAAATGGCAGTTTATGAGCTGAAACAGGAGTAATATCCTGGGATATAGTGGGGCTACACCATAGCGCTTAGCACCATCACTGATAAAACCAGACTTTATTACTTCTGGATGTATATCAGAATCACCTGATGGCTCTTTCAAAGTAAAAGTGCTTGGGCCCCATTCTTGGTGAGTCTGCTTTAGCAGATTTGAGAATAGAACACAAACACATATATTTTGAAAAAACTTCCCAATGATTCTTACACACTTCCTTGGTTAAGAACACCTAATTTAGATAAATAATAAAAAGAAATAGCCGTTAGCTTAATCACATGCTGTTAAAAAGAAGAACAGAATTCAACAATATCAATAATCTAGAGTTCATGATTTTTAAATTACATCCATATATACATATGGTTTCAACTAAGATGAGATCTTTCTTGTATAAAATTTAATAGAAATAATCCCATAATTCACAATAGGATAGGTTTAAATTTTCATTTATCGTTTCATATCATACATACAGTATAGGTGGATATTCACATTACCATGGCAGACAATGAACAAGAAAAGCCTCAGTGAATTTTATTCTATTGATAAAAGATAAAAAGATCATTTATGAAGTTTCTTAGAATTTAAAAGCAACACACTGACATATTACTTTAGCTGCCAATTTTACGAAGGCTAGATATAATCATGGGCAATAGTTACTCTGTATACAACCTGATGATTTTGTTAATCTTCAAGTCTGAGAAACGACTTACCTTTGCAAATCGAACAGCAAACAGTTTCTTGTATTTCAAATCCATAAGTAGACTGCTCATGAACAACTGATGATACATGCTCCTAGCACCTTTTACAAAGGGAGCAGATATAAGAGAAGGATATATAAAACAAGCCAAAAATTACATTCCCCAAGTTTTATATGGACAACTGTATTTTAAATCTCAAGAGCAAAACTGCGTGTTCCTTACTGTAAAATATTTATAACCTGCTTCTTTAAAAAAAAAAAAAAATCGGCTTTTCTAAATATAGTTTCTAACAAAATATAAAGGCTATTTAATTTGGGTCATGGACCCCAGAATCTGTTTGTTTTTTCCCAAAGAATAAGATTGCATATGCTAATTTGAAAAACCATACTTATTTAAATACTTTCCCAAATGAAAAAAAGAAAAAAGAAAAAGAGAACTTAACATCCCAGTTACCGCTATACCTTAAAAGTTGTTAAGAGACTCACCTTTCCACAATTTGGAATCATTGAGCATCAATCTATCCACGAGAGAGGAATTTTCACCATCTGGCCCTTCTTGTAAACCAACTTGACATAAAATTCGGCGAAGGCCATCTTAAACAGGAAGAAAAGTAGTCATGAAACAGTAACTTCCAATATTAAACTAAAATTTTAGTAAAAATGTTCAAATAAATCTATGGAGTTTTACGTGTTCTTATTAAAGGTCAAACTAAATCAGAAAAAGTAAACATATTAACAATTTTATTAACATTTTCATAAAAAGGAGAAAAATTCCAAATCTTGCATTATACACAGACTCTTATCAGGAACATCAAAATATATGCCTATCAGAAAGGCAATGACCTCTGATGCTGTAAAGAATTTAAAGAGTAGCCCAGCTGGGGTTGCTCAGTGGTTGGAACGTCATCCTGTGCACTGAAGGGTCTCAGGTTTGATTCCCAGTCAAGGGCAAGTACTTGGGTTGCAGGTTCCATCCCTAGCCCCAGGACGCATGCAGGAGGCAACCAACTGATGTATCTCTCTTACATCAATGTTTCTCTCTCTCTCCAAATCCCCTCCTTCCCTCCTTTCCACTCTCTCTAAAAATCAATGGAAACAATATCTTTGGGTGAGGATTAACAACAACTAAAGAATTTAAAGAGCAAAGAATACAAAAAAACAAAAACAAACCCCACTGAAATAATCATAGTTCTTCAAACACCAATGTTAATTAAATCATATTATAGCAAAATTGTACTGCCAATTAAAAGAGATGACTTCAGTGCTGTAACATATACCAGTTCTTTTTATTAATGCCATACGAAATGTTCATCATTAAACAAAAATTCACTGTGTCTGTGTACCTCTCTATGTGGACCTACTATGTGACAGGCCCTGGAAAAAAAATTCCTACATCCTCTAAATACTAAACTTAAAAAAAAAGTTGCTCAAATATTGATATAAGCATTAACATAACCAAAACTTTAATACCTTTTTGTTTCATATTTTATAATTAAAATGACTATTTTCAGAATTCTACAAGCATGCAAATAATTAGAAAAAATAGAATTTTTACTATAGCACCTACTTGGCATAAAGGTATCCAATGCAAAACATCAAAACTTAAGAAATGAGGGCAAGAGCTCCGGCCAGGTAGCTCAGTTGATTGGAGCATCATCCCATGCTCTAAAAGGTTGAGGGTTCAATCCCAGTCAGGGCACTTACAGGAGGCAACTGATGGATGTTTCCCTCTCACATCTATGTTCCTCTTTCTCTCTCCCTTCTAAAATCAATAAACATAGTCCAGCTGGCATGGCTCAGTCATTAAGCATCGACGTATAAACCAGGAGGTCACAGTTCAATTCCAGTCAGGGTACAAGCCCAGGTTGTGGGCACAATCCCCAGTGGGGGCTTGTAGGAGGCAGCCAATCAACGATTCTCTCTCATCATTGATGTTTCTCTCTCTCTCTCCCCCCCCCACCCCCTTCCTCTCTGAAATCAATTCTATCTAGTAATAGAGAAACATGGTAATTAACCATAACTTCACTACCCTTCCCATTGGCTAATCAGTGAGATATGCAAATTAACTGCCAACCAAGATAGCGGCTGGCAGCCAGGCAGCTGAAGCGAACAGGAGGCTTGCTTGCTCCAGTGAAGGAGGAAGCCAAGGTTCCCCACCTGCCGCTGCTGGGCTCTGAGCTTGCACTCTAAGAAATGTTGCAATTATAGAAGCTAAACAAACCCCAGAAACCTGCTTTCAGCTGTCAGAGCTGGAGCTGCAACAGTGTTTCCATTATAGAAGCCAAATAAACCCAGATACCTGCTTTCAGCAGCCGAGGTCTCATAGCTGGAGCCGAGCCTCAGAGCTAAAGCCAGCTCTCAGCTCCAGTGACAGCCATAGAAGGTAAATAAATCCCAGAATAAAAACAAAAACAAAGGAGAGGTTGGGAGCTTCAGTCACCTGCCAGCCTGAAAACGGCCCTCAGCCCCTCACCAAGACTGGCCAGGCACCCAAGTGGGGTCCCTCACCCTGAAGGGGTTGTGACCAGCTGCAAACAGCCATCATCCCCTCATCCAGGCTGGCCAGGCACCCAAGTGGGACCCCCACCCTGATCCAGGACACCTTTCAGGGCAAACCAGCCGGCCCCCACCTGTGCATCAGGCCTCTATCCTATATAGTAAAAGGGTAATATGCAAACTGACCCTAACAGCAGAAGGACTGGGAATGACTGGTCACTATGACACACACTGACCACCAGTGGGCAGACGCTCAATGCAGGAGCTGCCCTCTGGTGGTCAGGGTGCTCTCACATGGGAGGAGCTCTGTTCAGCCACAAGCCAGGCTGATGGCTGCCAGTACAGCAGTGGTGGTGGGAGCCTCTCCTGCCTCCTCAGCAGCGCTAAGGATGTCCAACTGCAGTTTAGGCCTGCTCCCCGCTGGCAAGTGGACATCCCCCTAGGGCTGCCGGGCTGCCAGAGGGATGTCTGATTGCCATCTTAGGCCCAATCCCCCAGGGAGCAGGCCTAAGCCAGCAGGTGGTCATCCCCTGTGAGAGGGCACAGGCCGGGCTGAGGAACCCCTCTTCGCCCCCCGAATGCACAAATTTTTGTGCACCGGGCCTCTAGTAAAAGTATAAAACAATAAAATCAATAAACATATCCTCAGGTGAGGATTAAAAAATGAGATTAAGAAAAATAATTGGAAAGGGCGGGGGATAAAAAAGGACACATATATAATACCCTTTGTAATACTTCAAGCAATAAAACAATAAAAATAAAAAAAAAAGCAAAGTAGGGCCTACCAGCCAAAAAAAAAAAAGAAAAATAATTGGAAAGATATTTATAAGTCAAGCAAACATGTTCTCTTAAATATCCACACCTTGTTTTTTCACCTGTCAGTTCAGTGTGGCAATGCTCTTTTAAACAACATGTCAATACATGTTTCAGAAATTTTCTTTATAGTAATACATATCAGAATGTCACTTATCTAAACCTCCTCTCTTGCCTGAAGAACAGTATGTAGATAGCTCTCATCTATTCCTGTTTTACTCTTTAATGTTATAAACCAAATTTGTATTTTTGGCATTGAACAGAGGGCTCTAATTCTGTTACCATTACATCAAAAAGATTATCTAATTTGTATACTGTGGAAAAACAAAAAACTAAATTAGTAACTTCAAATTTGCAAATTTTCACAGTTGCAAATTACTGGTAACCAAAAGTTGCAGGAGTTAAAACAAAGATATCAAGATTGGTATATTATCCTTTAAACTGCTAACCATTTAGGTTTTATTCACAGTAGCATTTTCCAGCTTGCTAAGTGCAAGAGTTCCACAGGTACTCCTTTTTTTTAAAAAAAGTTTCTTTATCAAGTTGTGAGATTTAGATTTCATTAGCATATTAAAGTCATTTATAATTGTTAAAATACATGTGTCCTGCATTAATTTAAACACAAAATCCTTTGTATGCATATAAAAAGAATCCTGTGGATCAAAATTTGGGAAACAAAGGTTTTTCTGTGCATAAAGATATCCTGAGATGGTATTTTAAAATGTGAAATTAAAGCAAAAAATTCTTTCACTTGGTATTTTTTTCAAAACAGTTTTGCAAGGGCACACATGAGCTCATTTTTCAGTCAAGTAGCACCAGTTTTTCTGAACCTACCTGAATATCCAATAATGCTTCCCAGCCAAGACAAAAGTTTCAAACCAAAATTCTGATGCGCAACAATAGACGAATGCATAACTTGAACTTTAAGTGGCTTTGTCTGTCTACTGGTATTCCTCTTAAAAAGAAATGGCAGGATGAAAAAACAAACTTAAAAAGGCTATTTTATAGGAAAAAAGTTAATATTTTTATCTCATATAACGACAAACTGTTATTTTATTTTGTTTATATTAACCATCCTAATGGGTATGAAGTGGTATCATTGTGGTTTTCATTTGCATTTCCCTAAGGATTAGTAATGTTGAGCATGCTTTCATGTGCTTATTGGCAATTTGTATTTTTTTTTTTGTAGAAATGTCTCTTTAGGCCATCACAACTTTTTATTTAACATGTCCCCCTTCACTTCTGTTTAAACCATTTCTTCCCATTAATTCCATCTCCATAACCCACATCAATACAGTAGATCTTTGCAAAGTTTCTCCATCTACACATATTACATATGTATACATTAAAAAAGATTTTTGATTTTTGATTTATAAAACTGGGATACTATATATAGTCTTGTGCATCTTTGTGTTAACTGATATTTTTGGTTAATGACTCAATATTCTGTGGTGTGGATTTATTCAAACATCCTCTAGAGAAGGGCAATCATATTCCATGTGTTTTCAGTCTTCCGTGACTACAAAAAAAGCAGTACGAAGGATCTTTGTACACACACTTACTGGTATTTATATTCTATGGGATAAATTGCTAGAAGTAAAACTTTAATAGATGCTACACTGTTTTCCAAAAATGCTGTTGCAATTTCTTTTTATACAAGTATTCCTATTCTCTGCATCTCTGCCAGCAAGGTATTTTATCACTCTAATTTCTCCATTCTGTTGGGTATGAAATTTCCCTGTCATTTCACTGATTACTGCTGTGTTTGAGTCTTGTTTCATATATGTAGACCACCTACATTTTCTCTGTTGTGATTACTTTTTTCTATCTTATGAGCATTTTTCTACCTTATTTGTTCCCTACTTGATAATCTATGAGTGCTGTTTATCATAAACATTAAATGTCTTCCCTATTTTAGAAATAATTTTTCTAAATCTACTATTTGTCTACTGATTTTGTTTATGGAATATTTTGCAATGCAATTTTTTAAAAATATTTTTTTATTGATTTCAGAGAGGAAGGGAGAGGGAGAGATGGAAACATCAAGGATGAGAGAATCATTGATTGGCTGCCTCCTGCATGCCCCTACTGGGAATCGAGCCTGCAACCAGGGCATGTGCTCTTGATGGAATCGAACCCAGGATCCTTCAGTCCGCAGGCTGATGCTCTATCCACTGAGGCAAACCGGCCAGGGCTGCAATTTTTTTATGTAGTAAAAATAAAATGTTTCTTTTCTAACTCCATTGGGTTCTAGTCTTGGTTAAGAATATCTTTCACCCTAGCTAGTTTGGCTTATTGGATGGAGGATTGGCCTACAGACTGAAGGGTCCCGGGCTCAATTCTGGTCAAGGGCACATGCCCGGGTTGCGGGCTTGATCCCCAGTAGGGCTGAGCAGGAGGCAGGCAAACAATTGTTCTCTCTCATCATTGCGAGTCTCTCTCTCTCTCCCTTTCCCTTCCTCTCTGAAATCAGTAAAAATAAAATTAAAAAAAGAAAAAGAAAAAAAGAAGCTCTCCTTCTTCCTTAAAATGTATCTGGGGTTTTCTAGATTTTCCTCATATTAGTATCTATTTCTGGACTTTCTATTTTATATTATGACTGTATCTATGCAAACACCACCAGAGATTACAAGCACTAATATTTTTAAAAAAGAAAATATTTAGAAGATAAAGTATAAAGGTATGCATGAAAAAATGAATTCATAGAAATAATTATATCCAGGGAAAAAGTAAGGGGAATGGGATTAAGGGATAAGACAGGGGCCACTATACTATTTTATTTATTTAAAGTAAGTATAAAAAATGTATATAATGTGGACACACAGGTGTTCATCATATTATCTCTATTTGTATCTGTACATTAAAAACATTTCACAATATATAAAGTTATTTTTAAAAAGGAGTTTTGCATAAAATGGAGTTACATGGAATAGTTAAAAACAATAAATGCTAACTTTTAAAATAAATTTAAATGTGGGGATGCTTTCTTTTAGAGAAATAATACATGTAATAAATGCTATTAAGATATGCAGCATACCTTGCTATAAGGTACCAAGAAACAACTTCCCTTGAATTCTAATCTTGGTGCTAAAGGCCAGTTTAATTCTTAAAAAGTAACGTGAAACCCTATCAAAAACAAAACAAGACAAAAAGCAAAAAACTTTCTAGAGATGTCGATGTCTCTGATGAAATAAGAAGGCAGAAAATATATATCATCTAAACATTCATTTTCTATATTAATCTTACACAGCTTTAAAAAATTAGATAAAGCAATAATGCAATGCTCAAGAAACTTATCTTCAAATGTAATTTTTGGCTGATGTTGGCTTTACATTAATGAAGGCAGAAAAATGTTTTCGTAAATGCCAAAATATGAAACTAGCAGACATGTCTTAAAATTACTTACCACAATTACTGATTTTGCTTGTTCACAATACGCGAAGTCTCCATATCGAACAGACCTACGCCCCTATAAACAAAGATATTTACATTTGTGAAAATATTATATTCAGTATTAATAACTTTTGGATCAGGAAACAAATAAACATATTTGAGCATACAACAACTCTGGTCATTTTTTAATATTTATAACATTCATTCTATTCATTGATAAAAAGTAAATGAAAATACTTTCCTTCAAAGCTATCTCAACATTTTTTTTTTGTTGTTTAAAGTATTACATGTCTCCTTTTTACCCGATTGACTCCCCCCCCAACTCCTACCCCTGAGGGCAAGCCCCCACCACCCCAGTGTCTGTGTCCACTGGTTATACTAATATGTATGCATACAAGTCCTTTGGTTGATCTCTAACCCCTGTATCCCAACATTTTCAAGGCATTAATAAATATATTTTCTTGAATAAAGCAACATTTATTCTTTCAGGCTGCTGTAATTTCTTTTTTTAACCAGCTTTAAAAAAACAGTTTATTTAGAATCATGGAGGCAAATATTGTTAGTGTTTCTCTCTGGAGATACAGAATAATGCTTGGGCTTCTATAATTTTTATTTTCATAACTGAACATTTTGAATCACTGGGTAGAATGAGGATAACTGTATCTACATATATTTTCTCCTAAACTTCTTATCTAACAATAATTTATAGTTATACCCAATATAAATTTGGGCCAATATTTGTTTTTTATTTTATTTTTTCCTTTTTTTTTTTTTATTGCTTAAAGTATTACAAAGGATATTACATACGTGTCCTTTTTTTCCCCCCCACCCTTGACAATCCCCTGGTCTCCCCTACCCCCCAGTGTCTTATGTCCATTGGTTATGCTTATATGCATGCATACAAGTCCTTCAGTTGATCTCTTACCCCCCTCCCTCCTGCCCCCCAACCCTCCCTGGCCTTCCCGCTGCAGTTTGACAATCTGTTTGAGGCAGCTCTGCCTCTGTATCTATAATTGTTCAAAAGTTTATAATGGTCTCTATTATCCATGAATGAGTGAGATCATGTGGTATTTTTCCTTCATTGACTGGCTTATTTCACTTAGCATAATGCTCTCCAGTTCCATCCATGCCATTGCAAATGGTAAGAGTTCCTTCTTTTTTACAGCAGCATAGTATTCCATCGTGTAGATGTACCACAGTTTTCTAATCCATTCATCTACTGATGGGCACTTAGGCTGTTTCCAGATCTTAGCTATGGTGAATTGTGCTGCTATGAACATAGGGGTGCATATATCCTTTCTGATTGGTGTTTCTGGTTTCTTGGGATATATTCCTAGAAGTGGGATCACAGGGTCAAATGGGAATTCCATTTTTAGTTTTTTGAGGAAACTCCATACTGTCTTCCATAGTCGCTGCACCAGTCTGCATTCCCACCAGCAGTGCAGAGTGTTCCTTTTTCTCCACATCCTCTCCAGCACTTGTCGTTTGTTGATTTGTTGTTGATAGCCATTCTGACAGGTGTGAGATGGTACCTCATTGTTGTTCTGATTTGCATTTCTCGGATGATTAGTGACTTTGAGCATGTTTTCATATATCTCTTGGCTTTCTGAATGTCCTCTTTTGAAAGGTGTCTATTTAGGTCCTTTTTGGGCCAATATTTAAATGAAATTTAAAAAATAGCTTACACTTATATACCTAATTCTATATAACTTATCTGTGTAAAAGTTCTATTTTATTATGTGACATCAATTTAATAAAAAAATTACTTACATCTCGATCTACTGTAGTTGCAAAGCCAATGGCTTCTTTTTGTGTACAGTTAACAGCTTTCTGAAGAGTATAAATAACTTGTTCGTAGGTATGAACCTCATCATTAAACAGCATGCAATAGTAGGTGTCAGTCTTCTCTCTGTGGGATCAAATATTAATGATACATTATTTATTTGTATATTCCTTGCTCAAGGCTAATTTACAAAGAGCATACTTTGTTCTAGGGAATGTGCTAGTACTAACTACACCAGTCATCCATGGTCCCCATGTTCTATGACACTACTATCTGGTAAGGAAGATAGATATTGGACATATAATTCTATGTGAACTGCTTTTATTGAAGTTAGGATGCTAGAGCAGGGTAAAACAGGTCTGGGAGCTCAAAGAGGAACTGCCAGAGAAGTAATCTGAGACCCGAAGTCACAATTGGCTATCAGTGGCTCTTAAAAGGGAATAATTCTCCTCCACCCCCCACAGTTGACCATTTGACAATGTCTGGAAACAATTCTGGTTATCATGATTAGGACGGGAGTGCCACTAGCATCTAGTCGCAGCGGTTCTCAACCTGTGGGTCGCGAACAATGAAAATACATACTGCATATCAGATATTTACATTACGATTCAATTCATAACAGTAGCAAAATTACACTTATGAAGTAGCAATGAAAATAATTTTATGGTTGGGGGTCACCACAACATGAGGAACTGTATTAAAGGGCTGCGGCATTAGGAAGGTTGAGAATCACTGATGGGTAGGGCCAGAGATGCTGCTAATTATTCTACAATCCACTGGACAGTCCCCATAATAAAGAATTAATTTGACTTCAACTGCCAGCAGTGCTATGATTGAGAAACCCTGGGCTAGAGGAAGGTGTAAGCAAAGGCCACAAGGTGGTGAAGGTAAATATCAGGATCTGGAGCACAGAGAAGAAGGGGGAGATTAATCTGGAAAGAGGCAGAAATCTAAAAAACTTTCTAATTAATTTGATTATGCCATCCTAAGGGCAATCAAGAATTTGAAAAGGAGATATGGTCAGTTTGCCTTACAGAGTGGAAAATGAACCGTGAGGGACAAGAGTGGCTATGGCAATCCAGTTAGGAAGGCCATATTGTCCAAAAATGAAATTAATGTAATTTAGACTATGATAGTAGTAATGGAGATGAAGAGTAGAAAATTTTGATAGAAGGAATGCCATTTACTAAGAAGCGAAAACAGTACAAAGAAGCAAGATTCTTTCTCTTCTATGCTGGTATCCTGAACTTAAAAATGAACAAAAAAATCCCCCCCAAAAAACAAAACCTCTTCTAGTCTCTTAGATCAATGAATGGTTCCCAACTTGAAGTACATGAAGATAAAGTCATGAGGTACTAATTCATTTTCAACATTTTATTAAAACACTTAACCCGCAACTAATTATCTGAATCACTGTTGAGAAAACAAAAAAGAACTAACACCAATGTCCTTCAGACTCTCATTCCATCCAACTTGTATTCAACTTTAACTATGAAAACAATTCTGACAGCCTGGTTACAGTTAAAAGTAGAAGAGAAGACTGCCTAAGGCAAGCACACTCACAGAAAAAGCAAGCCTTTAGCCGTAATAGAGCTACGGCAGAATACAGTTTCCAGTCACAAGTCTGTGACCTCCTCAATAATCTAAGTACAAATGGTAAATATGTTAGATGTACACTAAAGAAGCTCAAAGTGTGGAATATATTTTATAAAATTTTAGAATAAAAATGAGTTTGAGCATTTAGTCAAACCAGAAAACTCACATCAAAGAGCTCATTTCCTAATCTTACCTGACAGACAAAATAAAAGGAATTGTAGAATTAACTTACCAGTTTTACCACACAAAGAAGAGAAAATTGCTTATGCCTGAGCTTTGACATAGCTTAAATATGGCTATATACCAACTAAGCCAACCAACCAACAGGGAGAAACTGCTACCAATTAAGAGGATCACACATATTTTAAAAGTATAAAATCAAGATTACTGTTCTGCTGAAAATTAATTATTGCAAAAGAAAAGATTATGTTCTGCCAGAACCGGTTTGGCTCAGTGGATAGAGCTTCGGCCTGCGGACTCAAGGGTTCCGGGTTCGATTCCGGTCAAGGGCATGTACCTTGGTTGCGGGCACATCCCCAGTGGGGGGCATGCAGGAGGCAGCTGATCGATGTTTCTCTCTCATCGATGTTTCTGGCTCTCTATCCCTCTCCCTTCCTCTCTGTAAAAAAATCAATAAAATATATTAAAAAAAAAAAAAAGATTATGTTCTATCCTAGCTATATTAAAGTTAACATGAGGAATTAGAAGAAAAATGGTTAAAACTGAGTGTGAGGAAATACAAATACAAAAAAATAAGTGGTTGTACTTACACCATCTCTAAATCTGCTGGTAATTCACTTTCTTTTTCCCAGGTTAATATCTCTACTGCATAATGAAACATAATAGCAAAAATGTTGTAAGTTCTTGTTATCACATCTTCTGGTAAATGAATGAGAGGATCCTGAAAAAAGAACAGAAAAAGAAAATGCAATTTTGTTAAATGCACATTAATTTTCCTCTTTCCCATTCTTCCTCCACCTCTCAAAATATTACTGTAAAAAGCTGACTGATTTTTCAGCTTAAGCTTCTCTTCAATATTACATCCTACCAAATCAAGCTTCCTAAAATGTTTTATTAAATTATAATCCCAATTCTGAAATCAATTGAACCAAAATATTCAATGGCACGCCAATGTCTAATGAATAAATCTAAAAACTTTAGAATGACATTCCAGGATCTTTAAAACCTAACATCAAACCGTCTTTATAGCTTCCTAATCCCTAATTTCCAGAATAAACAAAGGAATGTTGTCCAAGGACAAAAAACCAACTTAGTTTTACAGGATAAAGAACCTGATTTTGAGGATTACGAAGATGAGAAGTCAACAAGGTCAGAAAATTGCTTTGAAGTTATAAAAATCACTCATAGGTTGTGTATGCATGTAACAGGTTACCTCCTTCTTTAGATTTAACAGTAAGTTACTAAATTTCTAGGTTAATGTAAAAAAAAATTTCTATAAACATATATGTACTAAGTTTATCATGGTATCTTTCAGTCATGGTTGGCAAAATGTTTTTAATCTTAATGTTTTATCTTAAATCTAAACACATTATTTAGCTTAATGGCTAAATAGTGTTATATTCATGTCTCATATAAAAGATTAGTATGTTCTAACATCACGGAATGAGAATCAGCACATTCTTGCAAATACACATAAGGCTACACAAAGATAAGCCTAGTGGAACTGATATAAAACAAATGGAGATGGGAGATAAAAAGAATGGAGGGAAAAGGACAAAGATTCCTAGGACTTGAAGAATGTAAGGAAAAGTAAAAAAAAAGTAAGGAAGGTCCTGGCCAAATTGCATCTGTTGGTTGGAGTGTTGTCAGTACACCAAAATGCCGTGGGTTCGAATCCCTGGCAGGACACATTACCCAGGTTGTGGATTTGATCCAGGATTGGGGCAGGTGCAGTAGGCAACCAATCAATATTTCTCTCTCCCTCTTTCAAAAAGAAAAAATATTTTTTGAGGTCTTACTTTTTACCTCTATTTCTTCTCAACAGGCTGCTTTTTATTTTATTTTTGTTAATCCTCACCTGAGGATATTTTTCCAATGATTTTTAGAGAGGGTGGAAGGGAGGGGAAGAGACGGAGAGAGAGAAACACTGATGTGAAAGAGACACTTCGATTGGTTGCCTCCCACACGAGCCCTGTCCAGGGCCAAGAATGGAGCCTGCAACTGAGGTACATGCCCTTTGACTGGAATCGAATCTGGGACCCTTCAGCCCGCAGGTCTACACTCTATCCACTAAGCCAAATGGGCTAGGGCTCAACTGGCTGCTTTTTATGTCTCAAAAAAAAAAAAAAAATCTTTTTTTATCCTACTGGCAAGGGTTACTACTATTTCCGATAAAGACTTTAGAAACTGTTAACATATTGCAACCACCTGTACAAAAAGAAACTAGAACTGGTACCTCCTGCGGATTCATAAAAGAGTGGATATTAGTAAAAATATGAGCCTCAAACTACACCAAAATAGAAAACAGAACCTTAAGAATAGTATCTTACTATATAGTCACTCCTTTTCTTACAATTCTGTCCCATAACATTTAGAAGATTGAAGAATTACAATAAACAGGATTCATAAAAATTAAATGATCCTGGGGAAGAAACAACTGCCAATTCTTGAGAATCCAAGCCAGTAGTACCCAAACTCTGTTCTGCAAAATCCCAAGGCCTGGTAGAGCTGTTTCCTATTTAAATTACACATCAATTGTCTTAGCTGGTGTGGCTCAGTGGACAGAGCGTTGGTCTGCGGACTGAAGGGTCCTGGGTTCAATTCCAGTCAAGGGCACATGCCCAGGTTGCGGGCTCCATCTCCAGTAGGGGGCATGCAGAGGCAGCCGATCAATGATTCTCTCTCTTCATTGATGTTTCTAGCTCTCTCTCTCCCACTCCCTCCCTCTCTGAAATCAATAAACATATATATATTTTAAAAAGTGTTATATTACATATTAGGAATCACCGACTGGTAATTTTGTTGCTACATTAACCCCGTTTGAGGCAGGCCAAAGAATATAGATTCCCGTGCTATCTTTGTATGCATATGTTATCTTCTTGCAAAATGGTCACTAAGAATTATTTTTGCAGTGAAGAGATGCTAGGCTGTGTAAATCTACTCATATGTACAATGGTAAACTAAAGATTAGGAAAGATTTCTGCTCAAAGTGCTCGTATCATAACATAAATCAGCTAGAATGAGTAAATAAATGACCATCTTATCCTATGTTGTACCATCAACTATCATTAATAATTACAGTTCTTTGATTATATTTATGTTAGAGAATGCAAACCTTTGTGAATCAACTTTGATTTACTCTTCTTTCAAATTAAAAGAATGCGAGAGGCATACCTCTATCATCAAAAATGTTATCTGTGGTTATTTCTGAGGGTAGTGGAAATTACGGAAAATTTTCATCTTTTATGTAATACACTTCTATAATGTTTAAATTTTTAAAATGTAAACATGTATTATAATAGTTTAACTATTTTCATATGTGAATAAGGCATGGATGAAGATTTTCTCCATACCACCCAACTAAAACTAGAAACAAACTAGAATTATCTTTCCTTTTTTTTTACAGACTAGTTTTTTAAATTTTGTTTGTTTTGTTTTTTTAACTTGATTTTTAGAGAAAGAGGAAGGAAGAGAGACACATCGATGTGAGAGCAGAATATCCACCAGGTGCCTCCCGCATGACCCCCACAGAGGATCAAGCCCGCAATCTGGACAAGTGCCCTGACCTGGAATTGAACCAGCAACCTTTCAGTGCATGGGATGACCCCCAACCAACTGAGCCACACTGGCCAGGACTGAATGATCTTTCTTTTCTTTTTTTTGTTAATCCTCATCCGAGGATATTTTTCCATTGATTTTTAGGGAGAATGGAAGAGAGAGGGAAAGACAGAAAGAAACATTGATATGAGAGAATCACATCGATTGGTTGCCTCCTGCACGAGCCCTGACCAGGGCCCAGGTCAGGGAGGAGCCTGCAACCAACGTATGTACCCTTTACCAGAATCAAACCCGGGACCCTTTGGTCCACAGGCTGTCACTCTATCCACTGAGCCAAACCGGCTAGGGCCTGAATAATCTTTCTTAACAAGTAAATAATATACATTTCAACTTAAAAAAAAAATTTATTAATAATACCACTTTTATCTGTCTTATTATTGTAATTTTAAAAATTAGAATCTTATTTAAAATAGCAATTCCACTGCTAAAAATGTTTTAAAAAACCAGTATAAGGTACTGTCAAAAAAGTTCCATTACTGGAGCCTATACTACCTAAGCTTAAAGCACTGCTCCAGCACTTACTATGTGGGACACTTTGAGCAAGTTTCTTAATCTCTCTTAAAACTCAAGCTTCTGCAGATATAGAATATTGGTACCAGCAATATTTACCTTATATGGCTGTTCTCAGAACTAAATGAGATAAACCAAGTAAAGTACTTAGCATAATATTTAGCTATTAATAATTACTAATCTGCATTTGCTCTGGCTGGTGTGGATCAGTGGTTAGAGCACTGGCCAGTGCACCAAAGGGTTTTGGGTTGGATTCCTGGTCAAGGGCACATACTGGGTTGCAGGTTCAATCCGGCTTGGTCAGGCACATGCAGGAGGCAACCAATCAATGTATCTCTAAAATCAATGAGAAAAATATCCTTGGGTGAGGATATTAACAAAAAACAAAAACAAAGCAAACAACAAAAGATCACTAATCTGCATTCTAATGAGATGAGAGCAGCAAAGTGAAAATTTTAGATTAAAAAGTATTTGCTGAGGTTGCTCATTCAGTTAATATTTGTTATTGAATTAAATTTTGTTCCAAAAAGTATTTATAGCAACTGAAGAATATAAGCAGTATAATAGAATTGAAAAATAGATATACAAAGCAGGTAAAGTGAAAAATAAAGGTAGGAAAATAAACTGAAGTCAAGATAATACCTATTTATAAATTCAGATCATAAGTTTTCATATAGCTACTAAAGACAGGCTCTATTTCCAAACATTTTGGCTCTGTTTTCCAGATGCCTCAACAAAAGGAAACATAATCAATTATTAGGTTCAAACCAAGAGAAACATAACATTTCCTAATGCAGAGATCTAAGAGAAATTTGGTATGATTCTTATGAAGAAGATCAACAAAGGAGACACTACATAGTAGGTCATATAGTATGTGGTAGGTCTCAACTAGAAGAGGTACTATCCCACTAGCCTCCTGACTTACCCTCCACACCCAAGCACAGGAGATGGCATTTAGTGAGTGGGAATCAGGTATAATAAACGCTTCTACTCGTGTATACCTGGTGTCAGAAAACCTTTTCTGTGAAGAGTCAGTAAGTACGTTAGTTGTTGCAGGCTACAGGGTTCTCTGTCTTAGCTACTCAATTTTGCTACTGTAGAAAAAGAGCAGCTATAGATCATACATCAACAATTAAATGTCACTGTGTGCTAATAAAATTTCATTTATGGACACTGCAATTTGAATTTCATAAAATTTTCACATGCCACAAAATACTATCCTATTGATTTTTTCAACTATTTAAAAATAGAAAAACTACTAGAGGCCCAGTGCACCGGGCCACTAGTCTTTTTATCTTACCTTATAATCTTATCCCTGAAGACCTCATTTCTCTTAACTGAATTCTTAAATAGGAATTAAGTGGTAGAGTCCAGAGGTTTTATTCTCTGTCAAGTTTCTGTGGAGTATATATTCTCTAGGCAGGGCCATGTAGCTTCAGCCAGGCAAGTGACCTTGCTGTTATATTCTTAAAATTCAAGAAATTACCCAAAGTCTGCACTTTTTGATAGCTACCCTACTAAAGTATGAGGATAAAGCCAACAGAGTAACTGCAGGCAGATTCATAATTTTTCTTAGAAAACTCTTTTAAGCCTACCTTAAAACAGATAAAAAGCTAACAGAAGTCTTAAAATATTTCTTTTTAAATAATCTATTGAGATGAAATTCATAGAACATAAAATTAACCATTTTAAAGTGAACAATTCGGTGGTATTTTGTATAGACATAATTTGTGCCACTAACACCTCTATTTAGTTCCAAAACATTTTTTTTAAAATCCTCACCTGAGGATATTTTACCATTGATTTTTAGAGAGAGTGGAAAGAGAGAGTAAAAGACCTAGAGAAACACATCGATTGGTTGCCTCCTGCAGGCATCCTGACCAGGGCCCAGGGAGAAGCTAGCAACTGAGATACATGCCCTTGACGGGAATCAAACCCTACCCTTCAGTCCACAGGCTGATGCTCTATCCACTGAGCCAAACCAGCGAGGGCTAGTTCCAAAACATTTTTATTCCTTCAAAATAAAACCCTTTACCCATTAAGAGTTTTTCCCCATTCTTCCCTTTCCTGTTCCTGGCAACCACCGTCTTTACAATATTATCTATTCTGGATATTTCATATAAATAGAACTATACAATATGTGACTTTGTATCTGGTTTACTTTACTTAGCATAATGTTATGGAGGTTCATTCATGTTTTAAGATGTATTGGTATTTTATTCATTTTTTATGGCTGAGTCATATTACATTGTATGTATATGCCACAATTTATTTATCCATTTAATGCTAGATATTTCAACAATTTCCACCTTTTGGCAATGGTGAATAATGCTGCCACAAACATTCATGTTCATGTACTTATTTGAATACTTGTTTTCAATTCTTTTGGATATATACCTAGGAGTGAAATTAGTTTCATATGGCAATTCTATGTTTAAAATTTTGAGGACAGGCTCCTATAGAAATTCTATGCTTAACATTTTAAGAAAAGCCAAACTTTTCCACAGCATTGAAATAATTTTGCATTTCCACTGGCAATGTACAATGGATTACAATTTTTCTACATCCTCACCGACACTTCCTTTTCTAAATTTTTATTACAGCCATCTAGGATAACTCATTGTGCTTTTGATTTACATTTCCTTGACTAATAATGTTGAGCATGTTTTCATGTGTCTACTGATCATTTGTATTGTATCTTCTTCAGACAAATGTTTATTCAAGTCCGTTGACCATTAAAAAAATATGTTTTTATTGATTTGAGAGAGAGAAAGGAACATCAACAATGAGAGAGAATCATTGATCGGCTGCCTCCGGCTTGCCCCCCACTGGGGATCGAACCCATAACTGAGGCATGTGCCCTGACTGGGAATTGAACCATAACCTCCTGGTTCACAAGGTGGCGTTCAAACACTGACCCACACTGGCTGGGCATCATTTGACCATTTTTAATTAGGTTGTCTTTTTGTTGTTGTAAGATATACATTTTGGATATAGACCCTTATCAGATATATGATTTGCAAATATTTTCTCCCATAGTCCTAATGTTTTATACTGGTTTTCATTTCTTTTTAAAGCAAACCCCTTTTTTTCCAAATATATATTCATTTGTCTTGTTTATAATTTTACATACAGAACTCCAATCTGATATCTATACTAAGAAAAGGATAATATGCTACTTAGAGCAGACGTCCATGTAAACAAAGCCACAGCGGCTGTGAGGGCCTATGGCCAGCGGCAGCATGGGAAAGGAGGCAACACCTCCCCGGGAGTGGGAGTGGGAGTGGGAGCAGAGGCAGGGCCACTGCAGGAGCAGGAATGGGACCCTCTGCCTCTGCTCCTGGCACCATGCCTCCACAGAGGCTAGATGGGGTGCGACCTGCTCTGCCTCAACCTCCCACAGCCCCTCCCCTTGCTGGCCTGGCTCCACATCGCCCCCCTGCCCATCAGTGGGCAGGGGGGCGGGGCCAGCACAAAGAAGCGAGGGCCTGCCGGAGCGGCCGGCAGTGGCAGCAGCAGTGGGTTGATGGGGGCAGTGCCTTCCCATGATCGGCCCAGTCGCCTCCCACAGAGGGAGGCCAGATTGCTGCTTAGGCCTGCTCCCCATAAGCTGTCAGTAGGACATACCCTGAGGGCTTCCGGATTGTGAAAGGGGGAAGGCTGGGCTGGGGACCCCCTCCAGTGCAAGAATTTTCATGCACCGGGCCTCTAATATGATAAAAATGAAGCTGCTCTAAAAGGAGTGAAGAAATCCAAAACCCTGGCCACTTGTCTCTCTGTAGCAAATTCTAGATCGCTTAGACAAAGCACATAAAACACACGATATATGTTTTCTATACCATTGAATAATTGTGCACAATTTTATCTGTCCAAAACATGGTGGAACACAGTCTAAAAGACATTGTCCTACACCATAAAGTCTTGGTTGTTCTGTTAAAATATTTGAGACCTATAAGGTATGAGCACCAGGAAGGATTATTATTATTTTTTTTAAAAATATATTTTATTGATTTTTTACAGAGAGGAAGGGAGAGAGATAGAGAGTTAGAAACATCGATCAGCTGCCTCCTGCACATCCCCCACTGGGGATATACCCGCAACCCAGGCACATGCCCTTGACCGGAATCGAACCCGGGACCCTTCAGTCTGCAGGCCGACGCTCTATCCACTGAGCCAAACCGGTTTCGGCCAGGAAGGATTATTTACGCCTCAAATCTGTATTAGACCTACTAATAACACAGAAGTACTTCGAATGTACCCATCTCTCAGCCATTTAAAAATAAAATTTGAAATAAGGATCTTTTTTGTTGTTTTTTGTTTTGTTTTGTTAATTCTCATCTTTTCTCACACTCCCTAAATAGACTTCTTTGAAAAGAAAGGAAGCTCAGGAAATACAAAAGTGGACTGAGGATATTTTTTCCATTGATTTTTAGAAAGAGTGGAAGGGAGGAAGGAAGGAGGGGGAGAGAGAGAAAGACAGAGAGAGAAATAAACACACACCAACCATTGATGTGAAAGACACACTGATTGGCTGCCTTCTGCATGCACCCCACCAGGGCAGGGATTGAACCTGCAACCCAGGTATGTGCCCTTAACTGGTAATCAAACCCATGACCCCTCAGAGCTCAGGCCGCCGCTCTAATGACTGAACAACACTAGCCAGGGTTGAAATAAGGATCTTGACTCAAACATCAAATTGTCACAAGCAGCAGCAGAGAGTCAAGTACTTATTTACCAGTAGTATAAATATATCCTTATAAATATCAGGGAAATATAATACAAGATCAACAATTTATTAGAGATGGAGTGAGTATAATTTGTTCTGAGCTATCACCTCTACACTTGGTCGCATAACATCCAATATCACTGATTTACCAGATGACAATTAGAACTGGCTGCCAGATATGGCTATAGAAAAGACTAAAGATAGTTACAACACAAATATACAAAAACCAACTAAGTGGTCTACACATATAGGAAAAGTAATCCCTTCAATAATAAATGAGAACTTAAAGAAAGCTGAATTAAACTAAATTTCCAAAATTTCAAGTGTGTACTATTAGCAATGGTAGAGCATCATTAAATGCAAACAACTTTTAAAGTATACCTGGTCACTATTAGTGACAGGACTATTTTTCTTATCCATTGCTCATATTATAACCTTATTCCCATGTCTCAAAGTATTTTAAACTCATGGTTAAATAGTATTTCCTTAAAAAACACACACAAAACTTTGAGAATTGTTTTTACCTCTTCCTCCTCAATTTCAGAGGTGTTAAGTTTGTGTTTTTCACAGTAAGGACCCTCTTTCCAAGCTTCAATATCACCACAGTCACAGAAACCTCCACCTCCTGACGTTGTCATCTTAAAAAAAAATCATAAAGCATCTTGTCAGTAAATGTTTGCTGAGGGCTCTCAGATTATAAGAAAAGCAAGTTAAGGAAATAACATTGCTAGAGTGTTTAAATTTCTTTGGAGGGATGAAATTTAAAAAATGGCAAACCTCTCAATAGTTTAAAGCTTATTTTAAATATGCCTATAAGCTAATAGAAGTGATTCAAAATAAAATAAGCTACCTTGTAGTGAACTAGTAAACAATAGATATTTTAAAGAGATAAAATATGCTCACATATGTAAGTTTCTTAATTAGGGAAATCATGAGGGTTTGGGGGCTGGATTTTGGCTAAATTGGTATAATGCTGGCCTTTATGCTAGCAGGTTACAGTGCTATAATGTAATATGCCAGATTCAAGAGTTATAAGAACTAGAATAGTCCAATAAGAGTGCTGCATCTGCATTAGAGGAAGTAAGCAATAAAAACTAGAAAGACCGTTTATTTTTCTTTTCTTACACTCCCTAAATATCCTTCTTTGAAAAGGAAGCTCAGGAACTACAAAAGTAGACTGCCTGGTCACAAAAAACCTTTGCACCACTTGCAGTGTTCAATATTTATACTTCTTTTTCTTCTTCTTTTTGGGTAAAGACAGTTTATTCAATAAATGGTGCTGGGAAAATCTGACATGTACAGGCACAAAAATGAAACTAGACCACCTTCTTATACCATACACAAAAATAAACTCAAAATGGATAAAGGACTTAAATGTAAGTGGTATCAGAGTAGTGGCATCCTGAAAGATTCCCCTGATCTCTCCCCCTGAAATTTCAAGAATTTGAGCAGCCATATCACAACAAAATATTCCCTGTTCAATGCACAAATACACCTGAGCGATCTGTGCACTGAAACATCTAAAGGTGGTAGATGGAGCAAGGGAGGAGGGCAAAAGGGGGTGGGGCTAATACAAACCAGGGAGACAGCCCAGAGAGGAGAGGAATCCTGCTGCTGCTGACACCCCCTCAGCCAGGAGAAACAGGGGGGCTGGGTGGCCAATCCTGCAGGCGTGAGCAGGACTAGTTATGGCTGAGCTGAAAGACCATTTGCAAAAAATGACTAGGCAGTATGTCTGGGGTAGCTTTAGTAGCTTCTGGTCAGGGAAATTAGGAGCCATTCTGGAAGTTGGGAAGTCCAAAAGAAAGGTGCCAGCCAGAAGGTTTCATCCTGAGGCCTCTTCTCTTGCCTTGGAGATGGCCACCATCTTGCTTTGTGCTCAGATGACCTGTCTTTGCATTTCCACATAAGGAATGGGGAGGGGCAAAAGAAGCTATTTATTCTTTTAAGATATGGAAATGATTCAAGAAATCTGGCAAGACAGAATCTATTAGTTAATCATTGGTAGACTGGAAATTCTGCTCTTTAAAAAATTCTGAGAGTTTAGAAATGGTTAAGTACAAATTTTAGATCAGCCTTAATATATTTTGCCCAAACTATCTGTGTGTTATATATCACAAATAATTAATGTAAACCCACAAAAGACAGTTATTCTAAGGGACTGCAAAGATATATGTCAAGATACATGGGCAGGCAGGCATCTGAAAAATGCTAACTCCACCCTATAGTTTTCATGCACATTCTATTACCGAAGATAGGTAGAACAGCTTAAAGCAGTGGTTCTCAACCTTCGTACTGCCGCGACCCTTTAATACAGTTCCTCATGTTGTGGTGACCCCCAATTTCATTGTTACAAATTGAACATAATTAAAGCATAGTGATTAATCACAAAAACAATATGTAATTATATATGTGTTTTCCGATGGTCTTAGGCGTCCCCTGTGAAAGGGTCATTCGACCCGAAAGGGGTTGCGACCCACAGGTTGAGAACCGCTGGTTTAAAGAAAACTGGGATTCTCTTACTGATTTATGAAAATAAAGAGAACACAAACATACAAGGAGTTCAATTTTATAGCTGTTTTTAGTTCGTTATTATCAATATTTGGGTACTATGAATAAATCAAATAGGAGGAAAAGTCCTGAACCAACAGGGCTCCTGAAATAATAAGACTGCAATATTTTCTACCATTTTATTTGAGATTAGGGTAGAAAAAGCTCCAGCTACTATCAGTTCCCTAATTTCTGAATGTTCATGGATCTGTTTTTAACTTTTAGTAGAGAAACCAAGACAGGCTTAATAATAATCTGCCTTTGTCATATCCTTGACTTAAAAGCAAACAAACCTGATTTTTGTAAAAATACTGATTGCATTATAGCAGAGAAAAAAATAAAAATAAAATTAGTGGGTCTTATGTTTTGGAGTTGAGCCCTCTTCTACACTGTAGTAGCTGCCTCTTTAATATTAAGAAATGACAAATCTTCTGTGGAAGATGACAAATAAATAGAACATTTCTTAAATGTATAATCCTATCACTTTTCCTTGTCTCACACAAACCCCTTTAGGAACCTCCCTCTCACACTTTTAACTCAACTTTAGCCTCTGATTTTTGATAACCCCTTTCTTAAACCTAGAGTTTTGAAGATAATAAACATAGAAAAACATCAAGATAAACTAACTGAAAACTAATATGGAGGAGCTGATATCTGTGTTGTCTTTCTTAAACCACATGTTCCAAGAAGTCTGGATTCATAATTCATATCTATACTGCCATTGTATGTTTAATGGTGTTTAAATAACACATTTCTTAAACCACTCTCTCCTATTTTAGTGTTAAACCTTGGAATTTTAAAAAAGCAGAAAAGGTAGGTAGTATAAAATTTGATACTAGGTATGGTTATTATCTGGACATTACTAACCCTGTATCGATGGTCTCTGTGAATACTTCCCAAAAAGCACTCCATGCATAAAACACAAGTTGGATCAACTGCACAGTCTCTGTAAAGTTAAAGAAAAAATAAAAATGAGTGTCATAAAATTACTGCATATTTCACAACATAATACTTCATACTGGGTTCCATTCTAGAAGAGCAATAATAGTGAACTGTCTTAATGTTAAAAGAAAGGAAATATTATTCCCCAAAATCTCTCAGATCTTTGATCAATGATGTCAGTCAGCTTAAGAACCTGTTTCTCATACTGGATATGTACTAGTGAGTTTCTGAAGGCACGTATTACTAGAATGGTAATTTCCCCCAAAGATTCAGGGAAATCACATTTTATATTAAAACACACAGATGTTATGGAATCGATTTTAAACTTTATCTTGCAATTTCAAGTAATTTCCTTCAAACAGGTGTTTCAAATCAATGGTCTTCAAAGTGGTATGTGTACACCCCCAGAAAGAAGAAAATATTAAAACTTGTATTTCTATTTAAATTTTAACTAATTTAAAAGGGAAATTAAACATTCTAAATGATTAAGTACAGACTGACATGGGTCTCCTCACTTGGCCATTATGTCTGATAGTCACACAACACATATGGCTTCTAAGATATCCTGACGGGAGAATAAGAATTCCACAAAGCTGCCTTGCCCGGTTTGGCTCAGTGGACAGAGCATCGGCCTGCAAACTGAAGGGTCCCAGGTTTGATTCATCAAGGGCATGTACCTTGGTTACAGGCTCCTCCCCAGCCTGGGCCCTGGTCAGGCCTCAAGCAGGAGACAACCAATCAATGTGTTTCTCTCACATTGATGTTTCTCTCGGTCTTTCCCTCTCTCTTAAAAATCAATGGGGGAAAAAAAATCCTTAGGTGAGGATTAACAGCAACAACAACAACAAAAGAATTCCACAAGGTGGATGGGTTGTGACAGTGGTGTCCTCAGTCATTTCATTTGCTTTCATCATACTGCCAGTTCGATATATCTACAGATCATATCTTCTCTCTATATAAAAGCCTAATATGCAAACTGTCCCCTCAGGAGTTCGACAGCTTGTTATGACGTGAGCTGACCACCAGGGGGCGGCATGGAATGAAGGAAGGCCCTGGCCAGGAGTTGGCAGCCGGGGAAGGGAGGCCCCGGCTGGCAGCCAGAAGTAGGGCCCTGATAGGCCCTGATCGCCGGTCAGGTCTAGTGACCCGAATTTCGTGCACCAGGCCTCTAATCTTAAATAAGAGAATCTCTCTAATGCCATGAAATGAGATGGGGAATGATGAAAAATCTTTAAGTTTCCCTTATCCTTGGTTCTTATATCCTCATAAGCAAACCACTCTAATGTGCTTATTGTACTCCTTTTTATTTGTAGCATACTAGAGGCTCAGTGCACGAAATTCCTGCACAGTGTGTGTGTGTGGGGGGGGCATCCTCAGCCCAGCCTGCACCCTCTTGCAGTCTGGGACCCCTTAGGGCAGTGATGGCGAACCTATGACACACGTGTCAGAGGTGACACGTGAACTCATTTTGGGTGACACGCATCGACAGAGACAAAAAATTGCATAATTCAAATATCTGTCTCTCGCAACGGCCAGAGTTGGGCATCACTCGAGTAATATTATTACTCATGTTACTCATGATCAATAATGCAATTCTAAAACCGAATGTAAACATGTACATCGGTGTTGCGTAGCAAAGATACATAATGAAAACATCCAAGATACATTGTTCCAATATTGACATTAATATAAAAAGGTTAAGAATTGCACTATAAAGAGATTAATCTTTACTCATGACATTTTATTTTCACTCGAGTGACAAAATGCCCAATTCTGGAAACAGCCTCGTTATTGTCAACATGTGCCTCGGGTAAGCTTCCCGTGCGTTCGGGTGCATTCGGCAAACGGACGCACTTGATCGCCATGTTCGTTAGGAGACAGGAGTGGGAGGGTTAGAAGAAAAAGATATACAGTGCAACAGTGCTCGACATTCTGCATGTTGGATAATTGATTACAGCACCATATATTTGTTGGTTATACATACTATCTTTGAATTGTTTTGCATCAGGAGTCAGTGCAACAACACTGCAAAAAGTTAATAGGTAAGAAACCTATCAACCTTTTATAAAAAACGCCGTGATTTATATTTATTTATTTTTGTAGCCTTGTGATGGAGAATCAAAAAAACAAAAAAGCAAGATTGAATGATAAAGGAAGTGGAAGTAGCAGTAGCCGACCCTTTCAAGACATATGGACCGAGATGTACGGGATTGTTGACAGAAACAACAGATCATTTTGCATACTGTGTAATGAAACGGTAGTAAGCAGAACGTGGAATGTAAAGAGACATTTTGAAACTAATCATTGTCAGCTCTTGAAAAAAAGTATCCATGAAAGGAAGGAATACATTTCTATGCAGCTACACCTCTATAAAAGTCAATCAAATTCCATCATTAAATTTGTAAGATGCTCTACAAATTTAACATCAGCAAGTTTCTGTATTGCTCACTCCATAGCTCAGCATGGAAAAGCCCTCAGTGACAGAGAATTTATTAAGGAAACATTTCTAAGATGTGCACCAGCTCTATTTCACAATATGAAAAATAAAGATATTATTAAAAGAATTTCTGAGTTACCACTCAGTAGAAATACTACCAAAGACAGAATAATAGATCTTAACAAAAACGTACAACATCAATTAAAAAAAGACTTAAATAGTTGTAAATATTTTTCGATTTCTCTTGATGAAACTACTGATGTCACATCAAATGCTCGGCTGGCCATTATTGCTAGATACTCTGATGGTCTCACAATGAGAGAAGAGTTGATAAAGTTAGAATCAGTGCCAATAAGTACATCAGGAAATGAAATATGTAAGGTTGTTATAAAAACATTCAGTGACCTAAACATTGATATCTCTAAAATTGTGTCAGTCACGACAGATGGGGCACCAAATATGGTGGGAAAAAATATGGGATTCCTGAAATTGTTTATGGAAGCTATTAGACATCCACTTGTACCTTTTCATTGCATTATCCATCAGGAGGTGTTGTGTGCCAAATTGGGATTCTCAGAATTGAATGATTTAATGTCAGTTGTAACAAAAATTGTGAATTTTATAGCTTCTTGACCCCTTCACAAGCGAGAATTTTCTCCACTTTTACAGGAAGTTGATTCAACCTACAGTGGACTACTGATGTTCAATAATGTGAGATGGCTGAGTCGAGGTAAAGTACTTGAGCAATTTGTAGAGTGCTTTGAAGAAATTATGGTATTTATTGAGAATAAGGATCTGGCAAACTTTACTCAGATCAATGATCATAAGTGGGTCAGCAATTTGATGTTTTTTACAGATCTCTCTGTTCATATAAATGAACTGAACTTAAATTTACAAGGTTTTGGCAAAAGTATTGACGTTATGTTTGGATACATCAAATCTTTTGAAAGTAAACTTAAAATTTTCAAGCGAGATATTGAAACTAAAACTTATAAGTATTTTCCTCGGATAAAAAAGTATTTCGAGAAGGCCACTACAACGAGTGTAATCCATACTATGTACCAGAATATAGTAAATTCGTTATTTGAACAGTTCAGTGAAAGATACGGCCAATTTAGAAGCCTAGAACAGACCATTAAAATAATTAAGTATCTGGATATAGTTGTTTACAGTACTTTGGAATTAAAGGATTTCCAATGGATGCAAATTGACGATTTAGAGATGCAACTTGCAGATTTTCAAGGTAGCATTTGGACTCGTGTTTGTCGACTTAAGGTTGAAACTTGAAAATCTGGAATGAAATCGTTTGAATAATGAAGAAGAGTGCAACTACGAACAAGAAATTTTGAGTGCTTGGAACAGAATACCTGCCACTTTTAGCGACATAAAAAATCTAGCGATGGCTTTGCTAACCATTTTTTCATCAAGATATTTTTGTGAGACTTTGTTCTCAGCATTAAATAATATTAAAACGAACAAAAGAAACTGGCTAACAGATGAAGTTAGTGGCGCTTGCTTGGCCTTGAAGTGCACCAAGTATGAACCTGCAATCGAAGAATTAGCAAACTTCAGCACTAAAAAAGTCACTAATTTCTAGTTTTCGTACCATTTGATTATCATTGTTTTTATTATTATTTTTTCCTAAATGTACATTGTTTTTCTGTTTTTGTTCATTTTATACATATTTTTTGGTTGATTTTTCTTTGTTAAATGGCATTTAAATATATAAAATAAATATCAAAAATATAAATCTTTTTTTTACTATGGTTGCAAATATAAAAAAAAAAAATTATGAATATTTCTATATGTGACACGGCACCAGAGTTAAGTTGGGGTTTTTCAAAATTTTGACATGCCGAGCTCAAAAGGTTCACCATTACTGCCTTAGGGGATGTCCGTCTGCCGGCTCAGGCCCGCTTGCAGTCCGGGACCCCTCGCTCCTTACCGCCCGCCTGCTGGCTGCTCCTTACTGCTCAGCTCATTGCTCCTTAGCGCTGCTGCGGAGGTGGGAGAGGCTCCCACCACCACTGCTGCACTCGCCAGCAAGGAGCCTGGCTTCTGGCAGAGGGATGCTCCCTCTGTGGGAGTGCACTGACCAGTTGTTCTGGTCGTTCTGCTGTAACAGTCGCTTAGGCTTTTATATATATACTAGAGGCCCGGTGCACAAAAATTTGTGCACTCTGGGGGGGGGGGTCCCTCAGCCCGGCCTGTGCCCTCTCGCAGTCTGGGACCCCTTGGGAGATAACGACCTGCTGGCTTAGGCCTGCTCCCGGGTGGCAGAGGGCAGGCCCAATCCCTAGGTGCAGCCCCTGGTCGGGCTCAGAGCAGGGCCAATTGGGGAGTTGGGGCGCTGCCCCCTGTCATGCACAGAGCAGGGCGGATTGGGAGGTTGCGATGCCACCCTCAGTCACACTCAGGGTAGGGCCGATTGGGGGGTTGGGGCACCTTCTCCTGTCACACTCAAGGCAGGGTCGATGGGGAGGTTGCGGTGCCACCCCCTGTCACACACAGAGCAGGGCCCATCAGGGGGGTTGGGGCACCGCCCCGTCACACACAGAGCAGGGCAC